CGCATCGAATCGTGCATGCTAGAAGTGACTCTATAATTTGTAGTGCATGCACATTATATGCAAATATATGGAGGATAATGGAGTCAACACATTTGACAATACAGTCGAGAAACAATCCAAATTAAACGATGCAAACTATTTAAAACAAATGATTAAAACAAAATAAGGCGACATGTATACTGTACTATAAATTCAGTCAGGAAATATTAAATTCTGCAAGCACACAATGACGCAACGTGGCCTGGGTACACACAAAAAACGACAAAAAATTTGGTGCGTCGCGTTCTGAAGCATCGTTGATGTTTGTGGGTTTTTGTTAACTAAAACAGTTAAGGTCTGTGTAAGCAATCACGCCCTCCTCGTGATCCGAGCATGTATGAGCACAGCAAACCGCAACCTGCCGAGCCAAACGCCGTGCACACCCCTTACCTGCACACCGTATGCACACGGAGTTTACTTGCATACACAAACAGCACACCCACTGGCTGATGGTTGTAACCCTAACCAAGCATATTTACGATGTGGGCGTAGATACATCTAAATGCGGACCGCTTCTCAAACTACAAAAAAACACAGATGGCATGGTTATTTTATTGAGAGACCTTTTCATTGATGTGCTGCCTGAACGGCAGGTCCTTATTTACCACCGTCTCCGTCCTCTGTTCTCTGCCCTCTTCATTTCCACAAATGTCTCCTTGCTTCAACTCCTCCAACATCTCAAGCGTCAGCCTTCCGCTCAATGTTTTTCCCTTCCATTATTCCTTCCACAATGTACGTGTAGTGACGGTATATCCGCCACTAGGGGGCTAGATCGCTGAACAGGGTTGAAGGAAAGGCGCGGAGATGATCGAGGGTCGAGAGCGCGCAACGGGATAAAAGGGGAGCGCGGAGGTGATCGAGGGTCGATGGACTGAGTCGGGTCACGTCGTCGGGTCGTGGAGCTGCAATCGCCTCGTGTATAGGGGGTTACGAAGTGACAAGGACATCTACACCAATTATAGAACCACCCCCGAAAAGGTCCTGATTAAAGGAAGTGTTTATAAACGGATTGCCTCCAACCACGTAGTGTGTGTCTTCATTTAAGAGCAATACATCTGTATGTATGTTGAACTTCTTTCGCACCGTACGTAGCCAACCGTGCAAATCGGAGGTGCGTGGGAAGGACAATAAACTAAACACAACGACACGCAGTTCTAAAGAAATAAGTTTTCAATTTAGATTGAAAAGTTCATAGCTCCAGTGGCTTCCTAAAATCGGAAGGAAGAGCGCTCAAGATGGCCTCAGACGCGCATCTGAAAGCGCTCGATGCAGTGATTATCTTTGTTCGATGGCCAGCCAAAATGCCCTTTCTCAAACCAAATCCTCGTACAATGTGTCCGATCTAATTTCTATTCCCCCTTCTGATGATTTCCATTCTGATTCTTCTGCTGCAGGCTGACGTAGGCGGGGGGGGGGGGAACCATGGAAAATCTTGAAACTGGATTTGAACAGTGGCAAGGGAGTCGAGAGCATGGAAGGCCCAGGGGAAGGGAGTTCCAGTCTATGGGGGGCAGCAGAGGAGAAATGGGTCAACTGGTAATGGTTGAGCAGGGCTCTACAAGGTTTTAATTTCCAGTTTAAGTGATACTTCTAATGGACAAATGTATGGGTTTTTATGGGTGCGTGTGTCACTTTAAATGTTTAGATTTTCCTCCAAACATGAAGCACTCTGTTTTTAGTAAAATGTCGCTGCCATGAAGGTAATGTTAATGCGAGGGTGTTTCATGAGCAAAGAGTTGGTGTTTGGGCAAGTCCCTTTGGCGCGCGATGTGGGTGAAAGGGTAGGCTTCAGGTAAACACATTGATCTCACTGACACCACCTGACTGCGTCTATTTTATCTCTATTTTATCCCTTAAATTTCCAATAATTTTGTCAGTGGCCTATCGTGAGATGAAGATATTCTGTTTGGAACTCTTGCAGAGTGCAGGATATCCTGTGGCAGAGAAATTCCCCCCACAGAAAGATAACTATGCAGAAATGCTACATAAAGTCCATTTGACACCCCTCTTTATTCCCACGTATACACCCTGCAAAGGGCATGCATCACATGTCAGTCCAAATAATTTTTTAATTCTCATAGCTTGATGTAAGGGATTTTTTCATCAATACCGATGGCTCTTTGTGCAATCATTGATTGATGGGCAGGCCAACACCATAACCTCGCAATACTTGAGAAACCGGTTGAATCACAAGTGTCTGAAAGCCAGTGATGCTAACTCAAAATCTCGACGATAGCAACCCGATTCTGTTGACGCTACAGTATTAGCCCATTGAGCTGCCGAGCTTGCCTCTACAGTGTCAACAGTGTGGCTTTCAACAGATTGAGTAGAAATGCGAGTCTCGATTATGGCTTCTTTGCCTCCGGTCCCTCCCGGGCACGAGAGTACCTGCTTAAAACCAAGTCCTGTTTGGCAGGATCTATTGTCACCTGTTGATTTCGTGCTTGACTGCACGTGCCTACATTGTGCTTGTCCGTGCGCCATAACAACACACGTCGCAGCACCAGGTCGGGTAATTCCATTTTTTATTAAATGAAAAAAAATCCATCGTAAATGCAATTGAATAATATACATTGAATAATATACTTTAGACCATGTTATGTAATCTATCTATGTTGCAATATACCGTAGTACCAATTAGAATGGTTAGCTACGTACGGTGTGAAAAAGTTCAACAACTACAACCACTAAGAGGCGGCGACGTCACCACGGTGCTTGTGCCAGGCTAAGTGCACTTTAAGGCCACGTGAAGTGTTGAACGCCCGCTGGCAGGCGATCACGGGACAGACCCAGGTGCCATGGGTTGACTGACAGATCCCTGGCCAATGAACCACGTGTGCCCCCTACTGTGCTAACTTGCTGCGTTTTAGCCACCCAGCGCTCTGCTCGTTGTGAGCTACGCTCCTCTGCATATACATACATGTACAAATGAACTGGAACACGTTTTATCGTGTGTTATGTATAAAATGTGAAGTGTAATAATTGTACTTAGGGATATACGTTAGTAGTTGCGGATGGTGGGGGCGGGTGATAGGGGAGGAGTGGCAGAGGATGGGGGGGACTGGAATATCCTCTGACCTACGGAGATAAATATTGCACAGCAAACCTTACCGTATGACTGAAGCCCTCTCTCTGGTCGTGGCTAGGCAAACCTCCACATTGGCATATAGCTCCTGAACATATTGCCATTTGCAAGAGTAGAATAGAATGTGTTGGTCTGTACAATAACATACGACACACACACTAATACATTCACAGTAATACATACCGTATACAGTAACGCAGGGATGTTGTGTTTTTTTACATAGATTTTAATCATTGTTGGACCAGGGCCCCTCCCCCGTGTATTAGCCTGGCTAGAGAAGGGTTTTACGATACTATTGCTTCAATTTGCAATTAAAATGTTTGAAATAAGGCCTATTGAGAGAGAAAGTGCTATTCACTGTTAAACGTTTGCACATGACTGGCTCGCAAACTAGCCGGGGTCAGTTTTGACCAAAGGGCGAGTGCCGTTTGGGATTTGCTAACTCGTCGTTTTTTTTTAAGTTGCTGCCGTTTGTTTGCTCCGCATGGGCATTGTCCGCATGGCCCAATAGTCGTCAGAGCAGAGCAGGCCGCTGCTTTATTGACCATCTGATAATTCGTGGTGTCAGATAAATAATCTGTATCTCTATCAGTGTTTGTGCATTTTGGAGATTTGCAGTGAGGAACTGCAGTCAGTCATGCATGACCGTGAGCGCTCAATTGCAATTGAGTGGCGTATTTCACTGAATGCAGTCAGTCGACCGTGAAGCTCCGTCTCTGCCCGGCTGGCGGCTCTCAGCCACTGGGAGCCTTTTTGCTTGCCATTATCTCACATTAACCTCAAAGCTCGGGGGGCCCTGCCAAACCAAAGCAAAAAATTGCCACTGCTGGAATTTGTTATATATCTTTTTTAGTAAACATACAGGCGCATATTCAAAACACACGTCCCTCAAACGGAGATAGTGCGCCCCAGATTGTCACCATGCCGTCTACACGGCTCTGGCACCGTGCGACACACAGTTTCCAGGGGCCCGGTGATGGGGTCTTCTCCAAGAAGCACTGGCGAGGGGAGGGGGCAGGCGTGCGGTTATTTCAGATCACACCTTCCCCGGAGCCTCGGTCTCTGCGGCTCGTTTCCACTGCACCGGGCGATTAAACTCACTCATGTCTGACATTGGAGCCGTTTGGTTCCCGGTACTGCCGCTAGCAAATCTTGTCGGGATCCTGTGGTGGGTGATGGGTCTGGAGTGGAGCGCTCAGGCTGCACTGGGGCACAAATTCCAGCGTCATACCACTTGGCAGGCTGTTCAGAAACACTTGTTTCTTACCTGTAAACACCCGCTCGTGTTTCAGTTCCCCTGAAATCTTGTCGGCTCATTCTCCGCCCCCTCCTCTACAGCCTCCAACCCCCCCTCCCACCCGCATGTGCTTAGTTTAGTGGATGACAACTCGTTGGTTTCATTGTGGAATGCAAAAGCTCACAGGTGTCACCAATCGATACAAAACTATAATTCAAGTTGGATTTGTAGAGTTTGTAAATGTGACTGCATCACAAGATGCTGTTCAGTAACAGCGGATATAATTATTTCGTGTGAAGGGTGGCGGTCATATGCAGAATAAAAAAGGGAGTCAACAGCATGGGTGGCTGGGGGAAGGGAGTTACATACTATGGAGTTATCAGAGGGGAATGAGTGATGTCCCACTGAGGAAAGGTTGACTAGAGGCTCTGACAGAAAGCATAGAGTATGTGGAGGAGAGAAGAGTGAGATGGAGGATCTTGAAGATGGTCAGATGGAGAGAAATAGGGTGCATATAATCCCATATATCTCCAATAGCGGCAATTTAAAATTACATTATTGCACTTTTTGCTGCCCAAGAGCTCATTCTCTGTGTTCTCCCGTTGACGCTGCGCTCGTCTTTTTTGTGGCCTCGCACAGGAACCTGCTGCACATCTACCCACAGAGCCTCAACTTCGCCAACCGCCAGGGCTCGGCGCGGAACATCGCCGTCAAAGTGCAGTTCATGTCGGGGGAAGATGTCAGCAATGCTATGCCGGTGGGCACCACTCCACACCACTCCACACCACCTACCCTCGCGCACCTGGGCACGTGTCTTACCTGCTGTGCTTATGATCCAGCGACCAGAGTTCAATTTCCGCTCACGGCCAACACCAGTGACGGTTATCTGAACGGGTCCTGGGCCTCTGCTAGGTGGACTCAGCCTCAAGTGAATGTGTAAATATTGCCACTTGGGAGACAAAGGTGGCCAGGTGTGGTGCTCGCCACCCACCCCCTCCTGTGCCGTGCCGGCCTTCAAAGGTGCTCGCTAACAGCACTTACCCCACAACAGTCTGTTAAGGCTACACGGAGGGGATCTTTGTCTTTGCTTATGACCAAATCCGATCTCATCAGATCTCAGAAGCTTAACAGGGTTGAGATTGGATGGCACGTGAATGGGTGACCACCATCTACAAAGAGGTTGTCACCGGTGACCGCGGAGGCCTACGCTGTGGACAGCAAAGGGCAGGGCAGCGAAATCCGTTGTTTTGTTCTGTACTATGTTTCCACATCCGTGCTCCCAGCCTTCACCAAGCCGTGTTGACCAGTAGGGTGAAGTATGCTCAATTAACCCGTAAGACCCACGAGGCATGGGGAAGCCCTCTTCCAGCAGTGGATGGACAAAAGGGTTGTACGTGTCAATCTAAGTGTGATTTTCTGTGTTGGCCCGTGTGCGTGTTGAGCATTTCCTCTCTCGAGCTCTCTACGCACCACTGCGGGCATCTTGGGGAGTTGAAGTGAAACTTACCTGCTACGTGCACGTTTACTGCACCTGGCAACGCCTCCTCCTCAGGTTAACCGTGACGGTGCCCTCCTCCTTGTGCGTGGCCACCGTGGTCGGCAATGCCTTGTGGTTTCCACTTACTCGCCCGCGTGCTTGTGCGCTTGTGTTGGTCAATCGCTGGCAGTTGGCCGTCCACGTGATGTAGTGCGGGCCCCTGTGTGGTGCCTGACCTACAGTAACCCCCTTTGTTGCCACGCATCCCCACAAAAATAGTCCCTTTCCTGCCATTCATTTGAAGCGAAGTGGCGATTGTAATCAACTCCACGAGAGTCGTTGTGGCCAAAATCCTGGACGAGTTCGACAGCTGAGCCGACCTCTGTGCGGGATGCCCTTCTTGCCAAATTCTCGTCCGCACTCTCCCCTCGTAACTCCAGCGTGGCCTCGTTGTTTTCGTCAATTTACTCTTCTGGTGAAAAGCCATTGTGGGGTGCTGCTTGCCCGCATAGGTGTACAGAAAGATTGTTTATAATAATTCAGTCGTTATGTTTTTTTCTGCGTGTTGAAAGCATTGGCTGTTCACAGATGTTATATCATATAGTTCCCTTCGATTTGCAACATCCATTGAACTCTGGCATTGCCTAACAATCAGCGTAAAGTTAACAGGGTTTAAGTGATTCCTATAAATAAACTGTTTACGTCGGTTAACGTTTCAGCAGCTGGTTTTTATTTCGTGGCAGGTTTTAATTTCTATGAGAAGAGTCCTAAAATAAGAAGCAACCCATAAATCAAATATATCTTATCCTTTGTAAGCATATATCGAGGCTCTGCCCCGCATGAGTGTGAAAAAATATACTTTTAAATCACTGTCAGCCGCTCCTTGATAGCACTTTAGTAATGTCACAGATTGACTTGAGGGCTGGGACTTGAGCACCTGACTGTGGTTTTAAATTATGATTTTCTTACCATTATTACAGTTAATTATTTTATTTTGTTATTGTTATTATGCTTTAACACGTAGGCTTTCGCGACCAATAGATGTTATTATACTTTGGTTCTTTCGGTAAAGTCACGTAGAAAGAAACTAAATTAAATAATAGAATACTACGTTTCGATTGCAACACGAGCAACCTTCATCAGGTAAGAATGAATGAAGAAACAAACCGAGTAAACTTACAAATGTAATGTATGTTTACGAGGTTAAGTTTTCTCATTCATTCTTACCTGACGAAGGCTGCTTGTGTTGCAATCGAAACGTCGTATTCTATTATTTAATTAAGTTTCTTTCTACGTGACTTTACCGAAAGAACCAAAGAGTAATTCCTGCAGTCACGAAAGCTTCATATCAAGTTTGATGTTATTATGCTTGTTTATCCAGGAAAGGCCTCCCTGAGTCTCAAGACACTTTTAGCATGTTTTGTAGGTAGCGGGAGATGGTTGCTGTGTGTAAATCTAAACGAGTAGTTTGTGGGTATTTTTTTAGCATTGGAATCATTGACGAATTACAATTACGTTGTGGGGTTTTTTTTTTCATCATTAAGATTTGTGGGGCCTCAAACTAATATTTATATCTTTGGGGCCTTTACCATTTGTATATTTGCACAGCTACTGCACTGTCCTCAGCCGCAAGGATATCGGTAAAAATGGCCGTGGTTCCTGGAGGTCTCACGATGCCAAACACAATTGGAGCCTCTTCAGTTCAATGCCAACTCCATGCTGAACTTTAAAGCCACCGCCAGCCAGACACAAATCCCTTGGTCTACATTTTCAACAAAAATGTTTGGCTCGTACATGACTCGATCCTTCTCTTCCCCGCACCTCCTCTGTTTCCGGCAGGTGATCTTTGGGAAATCAAGTTGCCCAGAGTTTCTGCGGGAGTCGTACACGTCCGTGGTCTACCATAACAAGTGAGCCTCTGCGTTAGTTCATTCAGTCTTTATTTCGTACGGTAGTTAGTGCAGCAGCGTTCGCAGTGTCAAGAGCTCTCGTTATACCGTCCGTGGTGGAGCGCAGTGACATGTCTGTGCGTTCGGCGTTACTCAGGACATGCTCGTCCATCGCCGCATTGTTACTGCGCTAACGATCAGGCGAAGGGGCTAATGTCGGGCATTGACCCGGGGTCTCCGGATCGGGGCTGCGAAAATGGGAAGGGCAGTTCCCCGAAACTCTTCCGGCAAACGCGCAGAGGTCAAATAACACCGGGAGCAATTGCATTCGGAGGAAATTCATTAATCAACGTATCCTTGGGAAACGGCAAGAAGTCATTAGGCGTGGCGGCCGTAAATTACCACGCCAGAGACCCCACCAGAAACAATTGCTATTGTTTCATTTCATGAGAATAAGTTGGATCTCAGTGTCCAAGGATGAGTTCTTTCGCAGAGCTCGTAGCAGCCGCGCTATTCGGAGGTATGGGGGAGGAACAACAGACGATACGCAAAAAGCAGTGCTAAATAAAATACATTTTCATTTGATAAAACACGAGGGTGAAACAGATGCGCGTGTTTGTTTGCAGAAAAAAACAAATGATGCAGAGTGAAAAATGTAATCCATGAGTGTGCACTGGCAGGCAAGGCTTCATCAGATATAGCTGCATCAGTTTGGTCACTGCCAAGTCCTGCTGCCCGTGTATTTCACTTCCTCGCGTAGTTGATATCTTCCCCGTGGTTTGATTGCCTGCTATTAAAATGTATACTTACAACAGCAGCACAATGCACTAAGTCGTGCTTGTGAGAATAGAATAGTTTCGAGCCAACAGAACGTTGAAAAAAATATATATATAGGCTACCTATGAGTTGCTAAATAAAAGACAAAACCAAATCAATTCTGCAATCTTATCGTGCTTTCGAATCACGACAGTTTATTAAATCATTGGGGAAGGTGGGGTTGAGGGGGGAGTGTGGGGGGTGTTCAATGTTACATGCGCTGCCGACAAGAATCAACATCAAGGTCATTACTTATTAACAGCTTGGAAATTATTTTCACGTCCCTTATGATCACAGTGAGTATCATGCACTGCGGCTGTCAAGCTGCCCCAGACTTGGGGTAAACACGGTCAAGTCCCATCAGGGCAGCATTTGCCACTGCATTGCGGTGCAAGGTGACACCATAAATCGTCGCCCCTCTCACCACCCTCTCCCTCCCACCATCCCCATTCACCAGTTGTGGTGGTTTTTAACACGTGCGGATTTTAAGGCCCATACACAGTGATCACGGTCAACCTCACTGGATGCTTTTGACCCTTTAACAAAGTTTGGCAAGTGCATCCGAGCTCATCTTCCTTGTTTTTTTTATTTATCGTACCCATTAATTGTGTGTGACGCACCGAAAGTCAGAATTGGCAGTAGCTGGCTCCGAAAGGCTCCGTTCACATCCCTCGCAGTTGAATGTTGTTGCACGGTAAATGCTGCTGCATAGCGAAGGTGCTGTTACATGCGGTGCCCTCGATGGAGGCATTTTGTGACTGCAAAGTGATGCCTCCTAGTGATGAAACCTTGCACAGCCTCTGGCTGCTGAATGGTGTCGCCGATTCACTTGTCCGCCCGGCACACAAAGTGTGGATTGTACCCGACAGTAATGTGTGCACAATGCGCCAGTGTTTAGGCCTTCACTTTGTTCGTGTTTGACCTGCCATAACTTCCACCCAAGGGCTTTGTTTTTCCTTTTGCTTTATTTTAGCCTTTTTTAACATATGCAGTTCTATTCTGCTGCCATTTAGCTTTTTTTAACATATGCAGTTCTATTCTGCTACCATCACTTATATGCCAAATTATAGCCGTCACTGTGGCATGTAGAAACCACCATCAAAGTGCAATTTTTAAATGCTTTAAAAATGAATAGCATTACAAACAAGAAGGTAAAAATTAGACCAAAACGTATATACAGGATCGTTGAATCGAATCGTTACTGCCCATAGTGTCAATAGAATCACTGTGGGGTCAGAATCGTAACCTGCCGATCGGCTACGCTGATTCCTTGCCACATCGGTTATGCTTCCTGTCAACCGCAGGTCCCCAGATTTCTACGAGGAGATTAAGGTGAAGCTGCCGGCCCACCTTACCGACTACCACCACATCCTCTTCACCTTCTTCCACATCAGCTGTCAGCAGAAGCAGAACACCCCCCTGGAGACACCCGTGGGATACACGGTACGGATGGTGGGGGCCCGTGGGCCCAGGTAGTCTCCAGCTTCGGGTCTGTTCCCTCGCTCTTTTCTCACTCGAGCGAAACAAATTCAACCATTGCCCAGTGATTATCGGCCCGTTATGATGCATTGAATCGTACGTTCAAATCGATACGACAGCGTTGGTGTTCGCAGTTGTGCTGTATATCTCTCCGATGTGTTTTCGAGTTGTACTGCTATGTTGTCCAGCATGATCACCATGCCGAACAACGTGCTGCAAAAATGTAGTCAAATATCCGTGCTCATCTTTGGCACAGAGCAACAGCCATGAGAGTAAACATTATTTATTATCATAAACAAACCTCTCTTGGTTAGATGTCAATGCCACGGGCATGTCCATGTGCCTCCACACTGTTGTCGTCCAGATTGGGGCCCTTGAAAGACTTAAATTAAATGCTGTGGTTCGCTTAAATAGGGAGGTGGTTGCACTGGCGGGGCTATTGGCGGGAGGTAGCGCCTATTTAAGGTGGGAGTTGACCTGTGTTCTCATTAACCTTTGTGTTTTCTGGTGAATACAAATTGAGGTTATTTAATGGGAAAGGATCTCGATTGTTGAGACGAGGCACCGAATAGTCGTTCCGCTATGGAAAAACATCAGTGCTGTAAATACTTTGCTGTAGTTATCCTTTGTAAAGAAAGACCTTCTCTTCCTTTCAGGTCGCTTTGCTGCTTTCAGAGTAAAACTTTTTACAATGCCTGCCACGCTCACTGGTCTTTTTTTAACATTTTTTTTTACCTCAAGCGTGTATTATTATACTATCCACAGTTGTCTCTAGATGCTATTAATAGTACGGTGTCCTTTTACCAAATCGCCCGGAATGCGCCCGATCTTGTCAGATCTCTGAAGCTAACAGGTGCTGAGCCTGGGTCCTGTTTACATGGTTAACCACCCTGCGTAGCACAGGCGTTACAGGCTGTCGCAGGAGTAATTTGTGGGCAGCAGAGGGCAGTGCAGCAACATAGATTGTTAAACTGTACTATACGCCTGCATCTATGCTTCCCAGCCTTAGCCAACCTGCACTGTTGATGAACCGTAAAATGACTCCCACGAGCCACACGGCATTGGGAGGCCCTCATCCAGCTGCAGATTGACAAAAGGGGCCTGTACATGGACAATAGCAAAGCGACGTACAGCTCGCAGGCTTGTTTGTGATCGCAGCAGCAGCATGCCTGCACGTAGAACTGCTTTTTGTGTTTAGTTTGTTGTCCTTCCCCCGCACCTCCAATTGCCACGGTTTAGCTACGTACAGTGCGAAAGAAGTTCAACATACATACACACACGCAAACGAGACTCATCCTGGTTTCTTTTGAGTCCTCAGCCGGTCAAACAAAATAAGCTTGAAACCTGAACCGTCGTTTCTCCCCACACAGTGGATCCCCCTGCTGCAGAATGGACGACTACGCACGGGCCAGTTCTGCCTGCCAGTCTCGCTGGAGAAGCCTCCCCCCAGCTACTCGGTCCTCTCGCCCGACGTGAGTGCCGCCAGTGCTCGTCCCAACCTTACTCCTGCCGCCCCACCCTATCCACCACCTCATCTTGGTCGTGGTTAAGCCTATGGGAATAATAATGGCTAGCGATATTGCTGGAGTTGGAATTGGGGTTAGAAATAATGATATTCCCAGGTTAGGATCAGGAGCGGAGCCAGGATTTTGACTTTGGGGGGGCTGACTTCAATATTCTGAGATATCCAGTGTTTGTTTTCCAATGGGCGCCACAAATGTATAAAACAAATTTTATTGGATTTGAACACGGAGTTTATTAATAGGTCGGAGCCACTGATGTGGCTAATAAGTTCAATAAGTTTGAAAGGCTGCCGCTCAAGCGGCCTGCAAGGCAGCACAAGGTGGCAGCCAGCATTTTGCAGCAGCCAGATATCCGGTTATCCCGATTACCGACTTTCCCAAAATTTCAGGGGGGCTGAGCTCCCCCCAGCCCCCCCTGTGGCTCCGCCCCTGGATAGGATGAAGGTTAGGGACTGTTATGGCCATTGCATTGATTAGCATTGTGTTTCTGAATAATGTTGTAGTTAGGATTATGGTTAGGCGTGTTACTCGAGTTTGTATTGTGGAAAAAAATATTTGTTTGAGCTATGATCACAAGCAGGATATTGCAAGGCTGAAATTAGTATTGGAGATAGTCTTTTAATAAGTCGTGGATGTAAGGTTGGAATTTAGCTACAGTTAGCACTGAAGGTAGGGTTAGTATTTGGGTTAGGGTTGCACTTTGAACTCATGTTAGTATTAGTGCTAGAGATATTTTTTTAATTCGTCTTATCACCAGGCATAGGACTAGGATTAGAGATCGTGCTATGCTTAGAACATGGTCAATATATATTTGCAGCAGGATTTTGAGTAAGGCCGTGTTGTGGTTCCTATCCCTGCTTTGTTCTCATGAGTTCATGGTTCCATGACGTCTTGTTCAACCACACAGGTACAGCTGCCTGGCATGAAGTGGGTGGACGGCCACAAGGGCGTGTTCAACGTGGAGGTGGTGGCCACGTCCTCGGTTCATACGCAGGTACACGCCGTCCCTGCCATCCACAGCCTCGCCTAACCCTGCAGCTAATTCTGCAGCTTTTGTCGGTGATCCAGGTGGTTTGAGTGGTGCAGGAATTATGAGTGATTGCAGGTATTGTTATTGGTACAGGCATTGTGAGTAGTGCAGGGTTGCGAGTGGTGCAGGGGTTGCGAGTGATGCAGGCATCGTAAGCGGTGCAGGGGCTGTGAGTGTGGCAGGCATTGTCGGTGGTACAGGGGTTGCGGGTGGAATAAAGGTGAGTGAGTGGTTCAGGGTTAACCATTGTTGGATTCATTCTGCTCTCGCGTGCTATGTTTTCGCCGCTCAGGATCCCAACCTGGACAAGTTCTTTGCGCTGTGCCATGCGCTAGACGAGCACCAGTTCCCTGTGCGTGTGGGCGACGTCCGCATCACCGAGAGCAACCTGGAGGCGGAGTTGAAGGCGAGCGTGTGCAGCTTGAACGCTGCCACGCTGGAGCCTCTCGTCCGCTTCCTCCACCAGGTCCTGGACAAGCTCATCCTCCTTGCCGTGCGTCCACCTGTCATCGCCGGCCAGATGGGTACGTAAAACATGCGCACGTGATCATCTTCTTGGTTCTTTCGGTAAAGTCACGTAGAATGGAAATAAAATAATAAAAATAAAACATTTTTATTTTATTAAGGTTTATTATTTTATTTCCATTCTACGTGACTTTACCGAAAGAACCAAGAAGTTGACGTCGAGTTTTACGTTCGCTATGTATGCGCGCGTCGAATTGTACGGGGGCAGATTTTGTTATTTGTGATTTATACAAGCTGCGGGCATGTTACGATGACTGATTAAATGAATGAGACGAAAGATATGACACATCCAGTATGAATGAGACTGCACAAACAAGACATGTAAGCAATTTATTTAGAAATTGTATCGTGACCTTAGATTGTGACATTTCATGAAATTGCATGGGGTGAATCATTATGAACCTTGCTCATCATTGGCCTGGCTTCTGAGTGGTAGCAGAACGAGGTTCGAGGCTCCATACCAGTTCTAGATAGACCTAACCCTTACTTTCACGTCCAAATGTCCTAATGCCCACCCAGAGTGTTTTGGCACGGGCTTAGCTGCATTTTACATCGCTACAGCTTTCATTTTTGCGCTTACCACCGTGTTTTGTCAAACATTTAGAGATAGTACCGGATATTTGGCTCTGAAATTCAGTTCCTGTTCCAGCACTGCGGCCTTGACTGAGAGCCAGTGACACCCCTCGGCCTCACCCCACAGTGCCCTTGCAATGCTTACTCGTGATGACGTAGCTCTGCTCTGGTTTCTGCAGCGGCAACTCTCACAATGCCTGCATCTGTGTTGAGCCTACAGCCCCACCACTTGCAAGCGAAGAGCTGTTTTCATGCATGCGCTGGTTCTTCGCGCTATTTTTAGTCGTAGTGTCATTTTTTACCGCCTATTGGACAAAGTGCACAACAATCCTGTTGAATCTTTATTGGCCAAAGGTTGAGCGTTTTGTGTTTTGTGGACTCAATGTTATTGTATATTACGCACGTGTTTTCTACAAATTATGTCGTAGTTGTGATAGCATATGAGCCATATTTGTGAAAATGATATCGGCATGCAACAGGGTGAGAGGTCACTGGGAGTGTACGTGCCAATGTAGGCTTTGGGAGTTCAACAAGTCCATTGCAAGTCCGGGCTCAATACGTTCCCATTGTGCATGTGACTGACCCTTTACCTATGAAATGTCTTCATTTGCACTTCTGCCGTAACATCGTCTCAACTCCACCACGGCATGTAACTTTCTGTCCATCACTCCTTGCTCTTAAAAGCAATTCCCTCAATATGATACAAAAATAGGCCCGTGCTTGTGTAGTGGGATCCACGGAGGTAGACACTTCTAACTTGGAGGCAAGACGTTTATTATACAGCCCAATGGGGCTAACTGCATAAACGTACACTGTAGACCCTAACAGGGTAACGACTCTACTTTAACTGGGTAACTACATAACCGGGTCAGTCAGTAACGGCCTGACTGATCCACGATGCCAAGGGGAGACCGAAAATTGAAGAGACGTAGCACCGAGGGTTGATTCCAGAGAACAGCCTCGCTCGGCTCACAGTACCCACTTATCCCCTGAGCGTGGCCTTGCTCTGCCCTCGGCCACGCCCCCTTCAGGATCTTCCCAGAAGGTTCTGGGACCTCACATCACATGTCCCCTCAGTCCCCTTCTGGCCCCCATCCTTTTCCTGTCCTGGTCATGTGCCCTCTCGGGTTCACCTAGCCTGTCCCGTATGCCATACGTACTCTGGTGACAGAGAGAGGCTCTAAGATGCACAGTTACATTCTTCTCACAGTGGCTAGCTAGTGCTAACACCACAGTGACTCAATATACGTCACTACACTTGAAACGGTATAAACATGCTCTTTTTTCCCCGTATTTGTATCGCATTTTGAGATGCGCTCCCATTCAGACATTTTCTGAATCCCAATTGTTCTCCGTTGTGTCCTCTGTTCACTCGTGCCACAGTGAACCTGGGTCAGGCCGGCTTCGAGGCAATGGCCAACATCGTCAACAGACTCCACCGCAGCCTGGAGTTCAACCACGACCAGCACGGCCGCAACAGCCTCCTCGCTTCCTATATCCTCTACGTCTTCCAGCTGCCCAGCACGGAGACCTGCTCTTCGGGTACTCACTCACTCTCTCACTTACTCATTCACTCGCTCTCTCATTCATTCATTCACTCATTCGCTCTCTCTCACTCACCCACTCGCTCGCTCGCTCTATTACTCACTCACTCGCTTGCTCTCTTACTCGCTCGCTGTCTCACTCACTTGCTCTTTCACTCACTCACTCACTCACCAACTCACTGACTTGCGCGCTCGCACTTTCAATCACACTTTGCACACTATTGGACGTCCGCCCAACCGGCTCCGTCTTTGCCGTCTGTTCTCACATGCTGACCCGCTCGCCCACCCACCCACCCACCCACAAATGTGCCCCACAGACGTGCTGCTTTTTTGTCCCTCTAAATCAACATTGGTGATGGGTTAGACCAGGGGTGTCCAAACTACGGCCCGCGGGCCAACTGCGGCCCGCCATCCATTTTTAATTGGCCCGTATCAAAGTCAAAAAATATAATGGACTATGGCCCACTGTATTGCACGTCTTAGTTTAAAAACTAGGTGGCGCTATTGTCTTGAACAAGGCAGCATCTCCACAAAGCAAGAAATCGAAGAAAAAATTTGCTCAGGGTCACCAGAAATGCCGGAACCGAAGAGACGCAAGATTCCAAGCGAGTGCAGAAAATTTCAGACTTGGTGGAAAAATGAATATTTTTTCATAGAAACATCAGACCTTCACGTCCTACACTGGCGCCGAGCGGAAAGAGAAGGTAAAGCAAATGGCAGCTAGCCTGCTTACGCAGCAGCAGGTTTTTTTCCATGCTAACAAAGCTCAAGAAAATGCAACAATAGCCAGTTATGAAGTAGCTCAACTCATTGCCCTACACGGAAACTTTTCTCAGACGGTGACTTCATCAAACAGTGCCTTACTAAAGTCGTGGGAATGTGCCCGGAGAAAATGCAGGATTTCAACGATGTTAATATGTCGAGAAATACGGTTGTGCGGCGAATTGAAGACTTGTCGGCAAACTTAAAACAGCAAGTGTCAGATAAAGCTTGTGCTTTCGATTTTTACTCGATTGCATATGATGAGAGCACAGATGCCACGGACACTGCACAGCTGTTAATTTTTTTGCAGGGAGTTGATGGTAATTTTTGCATTACGGACGAACTGCTAGATCTTTGGAGTCTAAAGGGGACAACAACTGGGAAGGACATATTTGAAGCTGTGTCAGATGCAATTGACCAGGCTGGACTTAAATGGGACAAGCTGTGTGGAATTACAACGGATGGGGCTCCAGCAATGACAGGCGAGCGCAAAGGAATGGCCTCTATGGTGAGTGCCAAGGTGCGGGAGAGCGGAGGTTAGGCTGTCAAAATGCACTGTATCATCCACCAAGAAGCCCTCTGTGCCAAGATAATCCAGCTTGGCGATGTGATGAACACAGTTGTGAAAACTGTCAATATAATTTGGGCACGAGGGCTTTACCACAGAGAATTTCAAGCGTTCCTCTCTGATGTCGATGCTGAATACGGGGACCTACTCTACCATTCTGAAGTGCGCTGGCTCAGTCGTGGCTCCGTGCTGCAGCGGTTTTATTCCCTGAGATCAAATATCAACAAGTTTTTGAAGGAAAAGGGCAGACCTCTCCATGAGATCAGTGACCCTTTATGGTTGGCAGACCTGGCTTTTTTAGTTGATCTCACTGATCATCTCAACACCCTGAACAAGAGACTACAAGGCAAAGAGCAGCTGGTACCACAGCTGTATTCGCACATGAAAGCATTCCGTGCGAAGCTCCGTCTCTTCGAGTCACAACTGTGCAACTTCAATGTAGTGCACTTCCCCACGCTGACCAAAATAAAATGCGCATTTCCAAATGCCAAGCTCTGTGCAAAAACGGGAGAATATGTCTGTGATTACATCTCTCATGACAGAATTCAGTCAGCGCTTCCAAGATTTTTCTGTCATTGAGAAGGAAATTACACTGTTTGCGCACATTTCTCATGACGGAATTCAGTCAGCGCTTCCAAGATGTTTTTGTCATTGAGAAGGAAATCACACTGTTTGCGGCTCCGTTTTCAATGGATGCAGAATAAGTGGAGGAGAGTCTGCAATTATAACTGATCGAAAATCAAAGTGATGATTTTCTGAAGAATCAGCATCAGCTTCTCTCCCTACCTGACTTCTACCGGAGCTTTGAAAAGGCCAAGTTTCCTCTGATGAGACGCCACGCAAAACGAATGATGAGTCTGTTCGGCTCAACATACATCTGTGAGCAGACATTCTCTCTGTTAACGCTGAACAAAAGCAGGCTGAGAACCAGAACGACTGACAGCCATCTCCGTGACGTCCTTCGCATCTCAACCACCAAACTTACTCCTGACCTGCCAGCTATTCTTCAGACCAAAGCGCAGCATCACTGCTCCCACTGATCGCAACATTCTTCCCATTACAGTTGAGTTAAAATATACACACAGTTTTCATTTGTTAATAAGCCCAATTACTTAATACATTCAGTCATTTGAAGTTGATGACAATTTTTTAACAAATGTTAGTTGATGTGTTAACAAGCCCAATAATTTATTTGTGTAATAAGCTTGAAATATCCACATCCCCTATTTCTCTTCTAGTCTCTCCCTTCATACAGGACAATGAATGGGGATCAGCACCCTAAGAACCAATCTGAGGCTGTCACTGAGAGAATGACCTGCCAACCTTTTTGTAAAAAATAAAATGAAAATCTTCTAATGGAGAGCTATGATGGAGGCTTTTTTTCTTCAAACATGTTCAATTATCAAACGTAATTTACCTGCATTTGATTGATTTTGCCAATATTAGTGCATGAGAAGTGAGGCAGTATACCTCACGTCTAGTGAGTGGCCCAGTCCATATATTTTTCTGTATGTGGCCCTCGGGGAAAAAAAGTTTGGACACCCCTGGGTTAGACCAACATCACCCCCCACGGGGTCGTTTAATTAAAGTGCCAATGTCCCTTCACAAGGCTGGGTTGGGCTAATGCGAACCAGGTTTTTAATTGTTGATGCGGCATGTGCCAGATAAGCTGGTATTTTTCTCTTGTTGTGAAAAATAAGTCACGTAGCACGCATTTTGTCGGAGAGCCACTTGAGGGGTGCTTATATTAAACCTAATAATGTACAGTACATTCCTTTCACAATTGACCGTTGCATTACGGCCTTAACACGCCGTTTCAGTCATGGGGGTTATGACCTTAGGGATCTACGGATGAAATGCCGCGAACTAATTATTGTTATTATACTTCATGGCACTAGTGGGACTAAACACAAAAACATCAGCTTTTAAAGAGTTTTAATGCCATTCAGTTGTGAACCTCAGCAAAACAAGCTAAATGTGGAGAAAAACACAATATTCTTTCTTGTCCACTGAACAACAGACTTAGAACATATTGACAGAATTTAACATTTAGGTTATACTTGAGGGTAAGTAATTATTTGTGGAATATCAAATGACATGAAGTATGTGGTTGAAAAAGAATATAAATGGAACCACTTTTTTAAAATATTTTTTTTATCCTGCAGCCAATAAATTAGCATTTAATGTAAATTTATTCGTGTGTTTTCTTTAGTTGTGTGGGCAGCGCATTGCTCTACGAACCTATCAACCAATTCCGGTAGCGGCCAAAAGCAGTGGCAACCTATAGGAGACTCTGGACCTCTAATAGGTCGACGCGGTCTATGAGTACCTGGTGCGGTGTGTAACCATCATCACTGGGGAGACACAGGCAGCCAGGCAAAGTGTTGGCTGCACAAGCCCCTCGTACGCCTTGCCAGCCTCAATAGGTGCTCACTAACAGCACTCGCTCCAACAGTCCGTTAAAGGCTGCATGGGGGTGGGGATCTTTGTTTTGTGGGGCTTGTGAGCAGGTCCCAGCTCCCCGGTGGGCGGCTCGCTGCACTACGCCACAGTGGCGCGCTCAGGCGTACGCCCCGCAAGCCTCAACCTGTCCCACACACGCAGCATCAGCAACAGCAACCCCGACCTGGCTGGTACACCTACTCCATCCCCGGACGACGAAGTCAGGGCACTCACCGCCAACAGGGTGAGCAGCGTTCCGCTCACCGCTGCGCTGCGCAGTTTAAATTCCTACCGCTTTTCACAAGCAATGCTGTCAGCCCAATGGCAGTGGTGGCGGCGGTGGTGGCGGTGATGGTGGCTGAGGCAGCCACTGCTGTTTTGTGTGCGTGTGTAGAGAGGGTCACAGACGTCTGGTGTCCGTCCTCCACTAGAGCCTCTCAATCCCTGTTAGGGATATAAGGAATGGCGAGATCCGTAAAGAATGTGCCGCCCTGCAAGCTAGGCTGGAACGCAATGCGAGGAACTGTGCGGGCTGTTGAGACTCTATGCTCATGCAATGCCATTTTAGGGCCATGATTGTGGCCAGCAGGGACGGCCACAAGCGTTGCCCTCTGTGTCGATATCAGCGGCATAAGTGGCCTTCACGGCCACTTATTTATAAACTTCCAAAGCCATGTGAGAGCCCATTGAAACTGACCATCTCTTTTTCAACAGAGACCTAGGTAAAAAAAAAGGCAATACTTTAAAGCTTTGATAAAAGGTAGCTAACATTGTACAAAACCTTATCTAATTCGATGGCATTGAACAGTCGGCATTCATTCAATAGTTGGCCAATAATTTTTTGATTTAATTAATTTGGAGATTGGCTCTGCAGTGGTTTGAAGGCACGTTATTCTCTGCCAATGCAGAATTGACATTGGGAATTAAACCGAAGATGCGTTCTCCCGCACGGCAGTGGATGGAGGCTCGGCACACTCTGAGTTTGCGACCCCTAGCCCAGGCCACGAGAGAGTGTAGCCCATTCCCCATCCTGAGTGTGTTAACCCATGTTCATCCTGCATCCCATCTCATCCCTAGGCTCCGGAGCGTGGCGGTAACCGCATGTCTTCCTATGCGGAAACCTCCACTTTCTTACAGGCCCTATCGGGACGTGTGCCCACAAAAAAGGTAGTCGCACGGCCGCTATGATGCTCTCTTACCTTCCTGTCCCGTTTCGGCCCAGTGCTGCCTGGATTTCCAGGGCATGTGTGACTGTGGCCTCTGTCCTCTCTTGATAGGGCCAGTGGGTGCTAGTGAGAAGGTGTGTGGGCATTCTCACACGCGTGTGATCAGTCGCGTGGATTTCATGATTCCCTGAAACTTGCTGGAAAGGATGACCCATTGTTAGTTTTTTTTTTACAGTGGTGTCATCTTTCTAAAGTCCACGTTACAAAGCTCGCTTGTGTACGAATGGCCGCACACCTTTGCACCTCCATGGTTAAACCCTGGCTATCTCTATACCAATCCTAAGACAATCTTGATTTGAAGCTTTCGTGACTGCTAGAATCCATACTCTTTGGTTCTTTCGGTAACAACCAAAGAGTATGGAATCCTAAGGCAATTTCCTCTTTTGTTAAGTGCACACATTTTTATGAAGACTTCAGTGCGGTGGTGGAAACGCTTTGTAAGAGGAGTGACCTCTGGGCGCCAGAGGCGGCTGGAACTGCGCGGTGTCGGCAGAAGGCTTCGAGTGAACCCGCGGCGAGCAGTCTGACCGCGTGTGCGTGCTGTGTCCCCCTGTCTCAGCTGTTCCACGAGGAACTGGCCATCCAGTGGGTGGTGAGCAGTGGCAACGCTCGCGAGACCGCTCTCCAGCAGGCCTGGTTCTTCTTCGAGCTGATGGTAGGCGCGTGCCGGCACGAGTCAGGGGGAGGACTTCTTTAGTTACTCAGAATGTCACCGGCACATCAAGAACTAATTTAAACTATTTTTTTTTATTTTACTAGATAAGGTCCACTGAGCTATATAGCTCTTTTTCAGAAGCAACCTGGCCACCAATGACAGCTCAACACAGTGGCTTACCACGTGGAAATTTATAGCAGCCAAATACTCTCAACGCATGTTTCTAAATGTGGAGGGAAAAACCGGAGGACCTGGAAAAAAAATCCACGCATCCACGGGGAGAACATGCAAACTCCCAATATACAGGTGTCGAGGTCGGGATCGAACCCACGACCTCCTGTTTACCAGGCGAGGTAGTTAACATCTCCTCGCCACCGTGGGAAACTCAGGGCAGCTCGGTGCCTCCACTCGTCACGGTCTCGTGCCATCATTCGGAGCTCTTCCCACGTAACACACGTGCGTGCAATATCTTTCCGCCGTGTTTGGTTCCCACCCATCAGTGATCGTCCTCTTCTTCATTTTACATTCGCCAGGACCGACACGAAAATCTCTGCAGCGCTCTTTTTCCGACACCATGCAATGCACAAGAGTCATGTCAGTGTTCATATCCCAGCCAATTCAGGCCGTGTTCTTTTAGCACTGATGCGACGTTTATGCATTTCCATAATAGCCGCTATAAGCATCACATACATTCCAAACGTGCCTAATAACTGAATGATAGAGGTCGGTCTTTTGACGGGCCGTCCTCATTTGCATTTGTGCCCATCTCGTACACACACCGTGCTCGTATTGTAACGGTGTTGCTGTGCGCGCGGTGTCGGCGTGCAAGATCGCGGCGCGCTAGCCCGGTTGCCTCGCTGCCGCCCAGGTCAAGAGCATGAGCCTGTACCTGTACTACGCCGACAAGCTCGACGCGCCGCGCAAGAACCGCTTCCCCGAGCAGTTCATGGACGACGTGTCTGCCCTCGTCATCATGATCACGGGCGACATCGTCAGCCGCTTCCAGAAGGTGCCACGCACAGGAGGTCTCGACTCGGCTTTTGCGCAGAGGGGGTGTAGAGTTCCAGTCATGCGTGTGGACAGGGTCTAACCGTAACCCCTAAGCTACACAGGAGTAAAGGAACCTGAGCACACGGGGCAGTCCTGCTGTGCCAGAAGCTGGAAGATCCCTCAGTGAGCTCTTGTTTTGTAGGCCTTTATTGGCCCTGTAACATTGCGATAGAATTGTGTCATTCCGGGTCATGATTTGATTCAAGAATATGTTATCGTTTTAACATTGTGAATGTAGCACCTCCAGTGGCTGCAGGGGTCATCTGAGCCCATGTGCCAAACGACTGTGATCGATTCTCATTCGCGTGAATCGATGCAAGTATCGTGAGGTCATGAGCGGAGGGAGCCTGTGATTACATGGAGGTGTTTGACGGCTCATGGAGCATCACATGCCAGACTTTAAACTAAATAAATCGACCTTTATATCTCCACGTGAAGATAAAATATATATTTTTAACTATATTGGTCTGTTGGCATCCTAGATTTATATTAACCATCAGAATATTTGTTTGAGTAAGTAAATCCTGTGTGAGAGTAAACCTTGTAAAACAAATATTGCTGGCTTTGCTGTCAGCAAAAGCATTTTGTCCTTACAGTTCAACCCTTTCCGTGCCAAAAACAATATTGCATAACAACTGATTATGTGACGTTCGTCATATGTGAAACATGACATCTAGCTGTGTTGCTGACTTCTTAATGCTTGTTCTCGAGCGGGGTAAGACAAATAATCTATATACGTAGCCTCCTGGACACCCCAATGCTTAACAAGCGCTCAGCTCTGAGTCATGCACGCGATCCCCGCTGGGTCATCAGGAAAGCCGAGTTCGACCACGAAGCCGGTAACGAGCGGGCACGACTCATGTGCTACAGGACATCGAGCTGATCGAGAGGCTGAACGTGAGCCTGGCCTTCTTCCTCAACGACCTCTTCTCCATCATGGACCGCGGCTTTGTCTTCAACCTCATCAAGACCTACTTTAAGCAGGTGCCGTTCCTCACGGGACGCTCTTTTGATCGTCCTTGCTCGGCAAGCTCAACATTTCTCCGTCATGTGGTGGAATTTCTAGAGCAGCGCTTCCGAGGCTTCCGGTTGGCTCGTGCCAGACTCCCTCTCCCCTCGAATCTCACTCTCCTCCCTTTCACTTGTTTTTTGATCCAGCAACCCAGGCATTTGGTCAAATCTCCCAGTCAACCTCTGCTCAATGGGCGTCTGCTGCTGCCTAGCTGAACTCCCTTCACCTGGTCATGTGCGTTGCCCTCTCCCTGCCCCTGTTCAAGTTCAGGCTCAAGATCTTCCTTTTTTCTGCCTACGGTTGCTTATCTTTAATTCTATGAGGTGTCTTCAATGACACCTTACCTTTAAAAAAAATATATAGACCTCTCTCTTTTAGTGGTCTCTATTAAGCATATCCCACTATATTGTGCATCATCTTGACATCCAATTGCATTTAGAAAACTATATCAGTCCAAATTGCACTCGTAAACAATGCACGTCTGAAAGTGCAAAACTGAAGTTTTCTTGTATAATTGACAGTACTTGAATGGTTAAAGGTAAATAAAAGTAACAAACCAGTTGGTTACCTTTACGTGAGCGCTGCAGGTCTCGTCAAAGATCAACTCGCTGCCCACCCCCAACGTGCTGATCTCGCTGAAGCTGGAGTTCCTGCGGATCATCTGCAGCCACGAGCACTACGTGACCCTCAACCTGCCGTGCAGCTCGCTCTCCCCGCCCTCCTCGCCCTCCCCCTCCGTCTCCTCCGCCACCTCCCAGGTGACGCCAGCCCTGCAAAGGGGGCAACCTCACCACAGGGCTGTGAGTAGCGAGGCTTAGAATGATGGAAGTGGGAGTTGTCGAGCTGAGAGTGTTGGGGATGTGAGCGGTACAGCTGGGAATGCTTCAGTGGAGTGTGCTAGAGCAGGGGATTAGGATGAGAGTGTTGGAGTTAAAATTGTTTGGAGCTGAGAGTGTAGGGGCTGAGAGCAATGGGCTAAGATGCCATGGAACTTACTGCACAAAGCCCTACCATGGGTCACACTCGCAGTGTGTGTAACATGCAAACCTGTCTACACGCACGCTCGTGCGCATGCTCACACACAGAGTTCGGGCTTCTCCAGCGTGCATGACCGCCGCATCGCCAACATGTTCGAGCTGTCCCCCGAGTTCCGCCAGCAACACTTCCTGGCCGGCCTGCTGCTCTCAGAACTGGCCATCATTCTCGACCCTGATGTGGAGAGGTGAGGCGTCTGTGCCACCCGTGGAGCAAGAGTCAAATGTGTTTGTATACTCGAGCCTTTTCATTTAACATTGCCGTTCTTTTAAAATTAATTTTTCTGAAATGTTTGTATGTGTGTATGCTTGTCAATGACGAAGGAGAGTGGTGCAAACCCGGTGGCCCGAGTTCAATTCCCAGCAACGACTGACTTCAGCGGTGGTTATATGAACTGGTCCAGGACCTGCCTTAACCAACGAATCCTTAAATGATTGCCTGGTGCATGTGTAAAACATTGGGGAGACAAAGGTGCTGGCCACCGACCCTCTCATGTGCTGTATTGGCCTTCATAGGTGCTTGCTAACAGTATTTGCCCAAACATCCTCATAAGACTATCCAGGAGATCTTTGTCTTTGTGTGCGTTGTCGTGTTTCCCTCGATGCTCGCGCGTGCAGCCTGTCCACGCTGCACAAGAAAGCCATCAACACTGTGCACAACCTGCTGTCGTGCCACGACGCGGACTCGCGATTCTCGCACCCCGACGTCAAGGCGCACGTCGCCATGCTGTACCTGCCGCTCATCGGCATCGTCATGGAGACGCTCCCACAGCTCTACGACTTCACGGGTAGCGGAGTGCCACGTGCCGCCCTCGACTCAGGCACCCACGCAGCGTCGATTTAAATACAGTTCGCGTTCAGCTACATCTGTGGGCGCATTTGGCTCTATCTCACGACCACGCAAGGGCTAAATCATGTTCTTGAGATGAAAGTGGAATGATGGAGAAACAAACTAATTTCACAACATGTGGTGTTATGGTGATGATGATTACGATTGGAAATATATTTAAATTCAGCTGTCCGTCAATAGATGTCTCTCGAGTTATCACAATCAACCAATCACTCCAGTCAGGTCATGCTGTCATAAAAAAAAAAACTTGCATTACAGAACGGGGAATATTTTTTTGTAGATTTCTATTGTCGTCCTTGGTTCTACGAGTACAATGACAAAAAATTATTCAAATAAATAAACAGTTGAATGATCTTTCCTATTGTGTTTTTATCAATAAAATGAATCCGATGCCTTTAACTCATCCCCGCTGCCATCTCCCCCTGGCGCTGCTGTGCGAGCAGAGAACCACTCGCAGCGACCGCGGGCGGGCGGCGCGTCTGAAGAGGGCGAGCAGGACCCGGGCGGCACCATCAGCCAGTCGGTCGCCATGGCGATAGCCGGCAGCCCCGTGCCACACTACACACGAGCCGGCTCACTGCACCTGCCCGCCGCGGTGAGTGGCTCCTCCGCCTCCTGTTTCCCTTTTCTCATTGCACCTCCCATTAGCACCGTTGGCTACGTACACAGACATACATTGCTACATCTCCTCTCTCCTCCTGTTCTTCCTCAGCGCAGCATCTTCTTCCTCCTGTTCCTTCTCCTCCTGTTCTTCTTCCTCCTCAGTGCATCATCTCCTCCCTCCTCCTCTGCTGTCTTCCGCTCATCTTTCTTTTAGAGGGTACGGTGTTACCTGGGGATCCTGAGCATCCTCAACGTTAACTGATTGTAAAAGGAGCACCTGTTGAAGTGTGCTTGCAACACTCTGTGTTATTGGCAGCGATCGTCACTGCCAATGCATTTGTTATGAGCAACTATGACAACTTGTTACTGGCAGTCCCATGTATTGTGCAAGACTACGTTGAGGGCAGCAGGAGACAGTGTAGCAACCTCCGCTGTTGTATTGTACAATGATCACACATCTGTGCTCTCCAGCTTCACAAACCCCCATTGATCAGAGTCATCAGCTTTTGTCTGTCCACTGCTGGATGAAGGCCTCCTGAACATTGACCAAACCTATCGCTCCATCTCCAAGGCGACCATTCCTCGTAACAAATCCCCACGACACGCATGACCCGGGGGAGGCCCTTATCCAGCAGCGGCTTGGCAAAAAAATAGTTGACCAACTCAATAACCCCTGTCCATTACATGTGGTTGCTGGCGCCAGTCGGGACGGCAGTGCACGCCGCTGACGGCGGAGTCGAGCCGCAGCCTGCTGCTGTGCCTGTTCTGGGTGCTCAAGAGCGCCGACGAGGAGGCGCTGCACAAGTGGTTTGCCGAGCTCTCCGTGCCGCAGCTCAACCGCCTGCTGGACCTGCTCTACCTGGGCGTGTCCTGCTTTGAGTACAAGGTGTGTGCCGACTCAGTTGCTCCGAGCCAATGTGGATGCTGTGCAGTGCGTGTTTCTTCGTGTGTGTGTGTGCTTCTTTTTGCGTATCTGTACATGTTTCATTGCGTGTGCGTCCGTGTGTCTCTTTGCGTGTGCTTCTGTGTGCACATGTCCCCCGTTTGTCCATGTCCGTGTATTGTCTCAGCATGTTGATGCAACATCTGAAGATGACTCGCTTTTGTGTTGAGGCTCTCACTGCGTGTGCTCTGAACTGTCCCTCTGCCTGCGCCTGCGAGGACTTGCGCGCTCTCACACCCGGCTTCACCTTCGGTGCTGCATCCTGGCGTGACCAATCCCAGTCGTGCAATCAAGCAACACAAGTGACCTCCGCCGGACACTTTTTCCTTCCGCCATTGCCTGTATGAGCGGCAATACATCACAGATCCTGAGCCTCTTTTCCCGTGCCCGTGTGTGCAGGGCAAGAGGAACTTTGAACGTCTGAACAGCGTGGTTTATAAGAAGTCCCAAGACATGAAGGCGCGGCTGGAGGAAGCCATCCTAGGGAACATCGGGGCACGGCAGGAGATGGTCCGGCGCAGCCGTGGTCAGCTCGGTAGGGCCCAGGGCTCGCCCTCCCTCCAGCGGTTTCTGCGCAAATGGGACGGGCCTGGCCGCGACCCCACGCCAGAAAACTTGCCCAACACGCGCCTTACAGTCTCGGCGTCGTTAGAATGCCGCGGTATTTTTTTGTTTACTCAAGCCTGTTGGATAAACACTGTTGACGTCTTGTAAACTTGTCGCAACACTGTGTTTTTTCATGAATACACGTGTTTTGTGCATGTTACATAGTCAGCACTGCTGGTTTCTGTAGGGGTTTTTTCCTGGATTTTCACTTTAAGATGTTTTCTTGTTCACGTTTTTGTTTTTTTGTTTGCTGCGGTTGCACCCGATTCAAGAGCCGAATGGCTGACAGGGCTATACCAAAATAAATGAAACTATGAAACTATGGTTAGATTAAATTCTGAATATTACGACGGTCACACGGCACTGTCGCCGTTAAAGGTGGCTTTGAGAAAAGTATTGTGATGGTGTACATGTACCATTAATCGGCAAACACACGCAGTTGGCACGTGGCCATCTAGGCCACCAGGCTGCGTCACTGCTGCTAATAGCACGCACCACAGTCTACACGGCAGCGTTGAATCTCCACATTGGGCGTGACGTTGAGTGACAGCGCGTGACGTTGAGTGACGGCGCGCGACGTCTCGGTCAGCAGAGCGCAGCTCCTCGGGGGGCCTGTTCGGCAGCCAGGAGAACCTGCGGTGGAGGAAGGACATGACGCACTGGCGGCAGACGAGCGAGAAAACGGACAAGTATGTGGCGGGCTTGGCATGGGGCCACGGGGCACCGGAGTATGGGGGCACAGAGTCACAGGAGCATGAGGGCACGGTGGTCCGAGGGCACGGTGGTCCGGGGACACGGGAAGCAAAGAGGGTGTTAAAGTTTGGGCCACAGAGCTGAGGGCATTGTAGGCAGAGGCAGTCTATTGTCAGAAAGGCCGTGAGAATGGCTCAGTGTTTTTGTTTCGTTAGCCAGAACCTGCTGCTGCTGTTGCTACTGCTGCTGATTTCAGACCAACTGATCAAAGTTTTCACTCTTCCTAAAATCAGACCTGAGTGAAAATCATGGGAAGACGCATAGTGGAACATGATGCTCACCCGGAGCGGATTTCACGCACGACACGGAGAACATGACACGTCGCCAGCACCTCACTGGTCCCACTGCCATACTAATGCCTGTTCAGTCTTTTGACATACACCACGGTAAATGCTTGTGCTGCGTTATGCTTATTAAGCCCACAGTTTTAAAGGTGGTCTTGTTTATAACCAAAAAAAGCATTATAGGTGCTTATCCACTTGTCTCTCTTTTTGTTTTACCACACTTGTGCACGGTAATTTAAGGAGTCAGAAAAACATCAGGTACAGTAACCCGGCTTCACGCCTGCTTGTGTGGTCACCCCTTTCATGCGTGGCTCCATCGTGTGAATGCAGTCGCTTCCTCCTCCGGCATTTCAGCTGCATGGCCCTCTGGGAATTACATCTGAGAGTCATGCCCGTTGAGAATCAGTCACGTGTTCTCAGAATCATATCTGCTCCGAGTAAAGCACATGCTCATAATCCCAAGGTGATACCGTTAACACGTGTTGAGTCTGCGCTGCCGGCCGATAAAATATAATAGGGCCTCATCCTTGTGCCTTCATTGCTTACGGGCCCAGGAAGATGCCTTTCCTGTAAGGTGGTAGCACGGACAAGGAATTCGTGGTCGGGCTGCCATCCAAAAGTGCACGTGTGCATCAAGAATCTAGAACCCACGCCTCACGCTACAGTCGCCACACCTCTCGAATTTGCCCAGCGCGTTCGAATTGGCCGTGACACCAGCCAGAGAGATTCCTGCCGTAACTAGGGAACCTGGGGGGATACGAAGAACTCTCGTTGGGTGAAACGTCATCCAGGCCTCGCTGCATCGTAGATATTTTTGAGACTCGCACGATGGAGCCGTTTCTGTGCACGGGTATCAGGATTTCTCTCACGTGGGGCTAAACTGCCGGTGTTAATTAGGTTGTTGCGAAGTGCTTCCTCCTGCTGTGTGTCGGCCTTTCCTGCCGCGCCTCTGAGTGAGCGGCGCTTTCCCGCTGCGCTTGAAGATGCTTGACGCTGCTGGGCTGTGAGCATTTGTAGGTCATCGGCTACTCTGGGAGTTATGAGTGGTCAGCCTCTGATTCATTCTTGCTAATTTTAACACAACCCAATAAATAACCAATCTGGAAAGGTGTTATTAGGTGTTTGTTTCTTTCTCCGGGGGTGGTGCTATCCGTTTAGTCTGGTGCATTGTGGGTATTGTCGCGACTGCTATCCCCCAGGGTGATGGGATTTGCAGTGGCTCAGAGTTCACTGTCTTACCCTCTGGCACAGGGCTCGCCCGGTCTCCTGGATTGGACTCTCACTTGCGTCTGTGACAGTCCTCACTTCACTCAGGACTTTATCAATGCCTTGGCGTTGTGATTAGGAAAGGAAACCTTGTCCTTACAACTGTTTGGATGCTGAGCCTCAGCATGATAGACTTGCTGCTCGCTCCATTACATCTCCGCACTAACTCATCTATATGTCACCATCTGAACCTTTAGAGGTTTCTCTAAGAGAACCATCGTTGATGTGGCTAATGGCATTGTAGTTGCATTGCTTTGGTCCCAGGTGTTGGATGTGATTGACATTTCGAGCTACAACAATTCAACCCCACCACTGTTTGATCGAAGAGTTGAGTTTATAACCAAAGAGTGGCAGCAGAAATCATGTGAACCCATTGCATACGAGGCAAATTTTAAATAATCGATCTAGGTTTGGTGAGCATAATGAATTTTAATCGACACATTGTTACCCCCCTCCTGACGTTGACCTGTGAGCGCTCCCTGCCGCAACTCAATAACTGACCGAGGTATTCCCTGACGTGGTCACAATCATAATGTGCGGGCCTCACCTGGGCTGACACTGGACCGGCAAAACGTGATCGTAAGCGAATCGGCCGTTTGTCCAAACCGTGGTGTGATGGACGTCCGTGGGTCCCTGGCAGAACCAAGGCGGAGCTGGAGCACGAGTCCCTGGTGGATGGGAACCTCTCGACGGAGACCAATATGGTGGTGCTGGACTCGCTGGAGATCGTCGTGCAGGTGACAGCCGCCTTTCCCTGCGATGTTCGCCATTTTATTTTTTAAATAAAAATTCTACGCTACGTTTACTGTGAGACCTCCACCGCTGTCTGTGCCGAGGTAGGGGGGTGGGGAGTCTGGGGGTCACCCATCAGGGCTCTCTCTCTTGCAGTTCTGGCCGACACGCTGGATTTTTTTCCCCACTCCCCGGCAGACGGTGTCGCTGTCGGAGACGAAGGACAGCGTGCTGGGCGGCGTGCTCAAGGTTCTGCTGCACTCCATGGCCTGCAACCAGAGCTCATCCTACTTGCAGCACTGCTTCGCTACGCAGAGGGCACTGGTTTCGCGGGTAAGGGGCGGCATCCTCCCAACAGCTGGGAAGCTCTGGATAGAACACGTTTTCCCCGCTTGCGATTTTAAGAATTAGCGCAACTTTGGATGTCACGATTTGATTTACGGATCGATAGGGTTTTAGATATCGAAACACAAAAATTGATTGTTTAAGGTGCGATGCATTTAAAGTTTGGTCCGTGATGAGCTGTGTTGAGTAGCATTAAGTTGTGGTGAGTATCAGTGAGCTGTGATGAATGCTGGTGAGTTATGAGTGACGGTGCACCCTGGTAAGTTCTAGTGAATTGCAATGAGGAGTACTTAGTCGTCACGAATGGCAGTGCATTGTGGTAAATAGTGATAAGTTACGGTGAGCTGTGAGGCGTAGTTTCGAGTTATGGTGAGTGCCAGTGAATTGTGGTGAACAGTGGAGAGTGGCAGTGAATTGCAGTGAGTAGTGGCGAGTCACGGTGATTGGCAGCGAGCCGCGGTGAGTGGCGGCGAGTCACGGTGATTGGCAGCGAGCCGCGGTGAGTGGCGGCGTACCGCGGTGAGTGGCGGCATGCCGTCGTATGCACCGCAGTTCCCGGAGCTGCTGTTTGAGGAGGAGACGGAGCAGTGCGCCGACTTGTGCCTGCGGCTGCTGCGCCACTGCAGCAGCAGCATTAACAACACGCGCTCGCATGCCAGCGCCTCGCTCTACCTGCTCATGCGCCAGAACTTCGAGATCGGAAACGTAAGTCCTGGTGTGACCCATCCCTCCTATGTCTGTAAGTATGGATGTTGAACTTCTTTCGCACCATACGTAGCCAACTGCTAATCTGGGGTACGGGGCAAAGACAACAAGCTAAACCCAAAAAGCAGTTATAAAGAAATCAGTTTTCCATCTAGAATGAGTTTTCAATCTTGCTAATTGAATACAAAAACCCTATATTTGTCTTCTACTAAGCCAGATGGCCCATGATTGCATGGGGTCAGATATTTTGAAAATTCGAGTTTTATTATTTTAATGGCCTATCCTTTGAGCCCACTTGCTCAGCCCAGATGGCAGGAGGTGGCTTTTCTACCAATCCCCCATTGGGGTCCACGAGGAACTTCTTCTACCATCTGCGCCATGGAAAAATGTCTGTGGATTTGATGAAAAATTGAATTTAAAATAACCACACAGCGAAGGCTAAACATTAGAAATCAGTGAAGCTTTACGATGTGTTTTTGGGTTGCACCCCGTGTTCAGCATAATGTCTCATGTTATGCTCATTGTGCTGGGAGCTTCTTCAAGAACTGAATAAGCTGCCGGTACTTGCAGCTGAAGATGCCCCCAGCACCTGGAGCGAAACGTCGGACATCGTGCCGAACAACACGTGGTGCAACCCGTAAACACAGCGGAGAGCGGATAAAGCGCAAACTCAAAAACTCAGCAAGTAGAAATAAGCAAAGATTCTGAGAAGCGGTGCTCACGCAGCAATCCACCCCACCCCACCTCACCCCACCTCACCTCATCCCACCGTTCCTCACCTCGCCTCACCTCGCCCCGCCTCACCTCACCCAACCTCACCCCACTCACCGCACCCTGCCCCACCTCACCTCACTCCGCCCCACCTCACCCCTTCTCGCCCTGCCTCGCCCCGCACCACCGTGCGCGTGCAGAACTTCGCCCGGGTAAAGATGCAGGTGACCATGTCGCTGTCCTCGCTCGTCGGGACGTCGCAGAACTTCAACGAGGAGTTCCTCCGCCGCTCGCTCAAGACCATCCTCACCTACGCCGAGGAGGACTTCGAGCTGCAAAGCACCACGTTCCCCGAACAGGTGCCGAAGGCATTCTCCTCCGCGCTGCGGTAGTTTACGCTGTACCACTGAGATCAAAAGACTCTCCGTCAGCCTGTCACTAGGGGGCATGATAACTTACGTAAAGATGATCCAAGATGAACAAAACCTGAATATAAAGTTGTCTTGTTATTTGGGACTGACCCTTTAGAAATTTGTCTTATTGGTCAAAGGGTTTCCCATGCCCTCCCTGTCACGGCCTTCAGATGTACTGCTCACTGTGCGCCTGGTGCAAGCGCTACCATTGTTAGCGCTCATGAAACAGAAGATTGTATGCATATGCATCGATTTCTTCTGTTTTATTTGTTTGTTTGCTTTTAGTTGCATTGTTTTGGCATTGAGCACTTGTTTGTCTGAATGTGTAGGTGCAAGACCTGGTGTTCAACTTGCACATGATACTCTCTGACACCGTCAAGATGAAGGAGCACCAGGAAGACCCGGAGATGCTACTCGACCTCATGTACAGGCACGTGCTGCTTCAGACCACACCAGATCACGGCACACATTACTCCAATGCCACGCTTTGTCCAGGCTGATCCTCCACACCTAGCCCATGACACATCAAGATGTACAAATCAACAAGTCCAAGTGATGTCGTCTTCAAGAAAAAAAATCCCACACTGGCTTTTGCAGAAATGATTATTGTTTTATTATATGACGATGTTGTCGGTGTGTTTGATTGTTTCATATGTTCTCGTGCACATTGTTACGTTGTAATTTTTCTGCCATTCAAAAGCGGAGCGCATTGCAAGAAAGAATATTCTTACATCATGACGGTCATAGCTCACTGAACCTCGCCACTCCTCTCCACGCTCACAGCCTTCGCCACCAGCTCAGCTGAGGTGTCCTACGGCACTCGCTCGGAACACTGGCCGTGTTGGAATGCCACAGTGTTGAAATGTTAACTACCTCACCTGGAATGCAGGATGTTGTGGGTTCGATCCCGACCCTGATGCCTGTATATTTGGAGTTTGCATGTTCTCCCCATGGTCGCGTGGATTTTTTTCCCCGGTTCCTCTGATTTTTCCCTCTACATTTATGTATTAATATGCATTTAGAGTATTTAGCTCATATATATTTCCACATGATAAGCCACATCGTTGAGCTATCATTTGTGATAGCCAGGTCGCTTCTGAAAAAGAGCTATATAGCTCAATGGGCCTTACCTGGTAAAATTAGAAATAGTTTAGTGTTAAATCTTGACTTAAAGCTTTCGTGACTACGACGTTTCGATCACAACACAAGTGATCGTCCTGATGACAATCGTCCTGATGACGATCGCTTGTGTTGTGATTGAAACGTCATCGTTTTTGTTCTTTTTTTGTAATTTTCTTTGAACCTATCTACGTGACTTTACCAAAAGACACAAATAATATAGTTTAGTGTTCCACTGCAGGAAGGTCGGCGTTGCTCAACTGTTCCCGCTTTGAAAGTTTATATTTTGTAGTTTTTGACACGTCGAGCATCTGAGCGTCTGAGCACTGGCGTGGCTGCCCTCCCGCTCTCTTTCCCCGCAGGATCGCCAAGGGCTACCAAACGTCGCCGGACCTACGGCTCACATGGCTGCAGAACATGGCCGGCAAACATTCGGAGCGGGGCCAGCACGCGGAGGCGGCCCACTGCCTCGTGCACTCGGCCGCCCTCGTCTCCGAGTACCTCTCCATGCTCGAGGACAGGAAGTACCTGCCCATCGGCTGCGTCAGCTTCCAGGTGAGGGGTCGAGGTAGCTCCCGTCGTTGTTTCCGGGAGAATCGCACGATCGCACCACGGCACCTAATCTGGTGCTTTTGGGACGCGTCTTGTTTTTCGAATGCAGCGTCCGGCTCATTTGACGGCAGTCAGTTTTCCGGCTCTAGTGGTTCAAACTGTGCCACTCGCTGGCACGCTCTCACCTTCCGCGCGTGCCCTGGTCTGCGTAGAACATTTCTTCAAACGTCCTGGAGGAGTCGGCCGTGTCGGATGACGTGCTGTCGCCCGACGAGGAGGGGATCTGCACGGGGAAGTACTTCACCGAGTCCGGCCTCGTCGGCTTGCTGGAGCAGGCGGCAGCCTCCTTCTCCATGGTGAGGGAGGTCGCTGCGCCACGAAGCGGCGTTCCCACGCGCCGCTCGGCGCAAGCGTTTTGACGGCAACCGATCGAACGGGCGGGCGTCTGACCACGTGCGCACGTTCAGGTGGAGGCATGCCCACTTCAGCCTCAAATGAGTACCTGGTGCGGTGTGTAAACATTGCCACTGGGGAGACAAAGGCGGCCGGGCGTGGTGCTGGCCATCCACCTCATGTGCCATGTGGACCTTCATAGATGCTCACTAAGAGCACTTGCCCCAACAGTTTGTTAAGGCTACACGGGGGATCTTTTGTCTTGCACAGGCTGGCATGTACGAGGCCGTGAACGAGGTTTACAAGATCCTAATCCCCGTTCACGAGGCGCACCGCGACGCCAAGAAGCTGGCTACGATCCACGGCAAGCTGCAGGACGCCTTCAGCAAGATTGTCCACCAGGTGACGCAGCGCCCAACAGGCGGCACGCAGTCACGCTGACAAGGACGTGGGGACGTGGAGCAAGGGGCTGTGCCGGATGGGACATAGGGACACAACACCTACACTGTGCTGAGCACTACACGGCGTTACATAGGGATTTGGGAAACATGAAGACCAATGGTATTGGACTTTACTGGGTGGGAAACAGGAGACATGGAACCTTGGGCTAAGATATAGAGTTTTAGGCTGTGTACCATCAAACAGTGGAGGAGTTAAGACGAGGAAGGTTGGTGACAAACGGTATATGAATTATACGAGCCCTACCAGTGTCATCCCCACAGCTGGACACGAGTAAAGACTCTCACGTAGGTGAGACGCATGCACGGTGGGGCGCGAGACACGGCGAGTCTCCCGCACACACGGAGGGCAGCGCGGGGCAGGGTGCGGAAGTTAGGCGGGCCGCGTCCGTGCGTTACTGTGTGCTTAACAATCGACATGTGGCCCCTTTCCCCTGTGTTAAAACTGTTCTTTGTGCAGAGCACCGGCTGGGAGGTAAGTGCCGATTTTGGAGAAAGGGTGTTGAGCTCACGCACGCACTCACGCCCAGTGTGGCGTAGCGGCGGCGGCGGTGCTTTTGTGCTGCGTGGTTCTCGAAGGCACGCGCCACGGCCGTGCCTTCCCCATCCTCTTCGGCCTGGTCAGGAGTGCGCCCGCCTGGCTGTCGGGGCGGCCGGCAGCGCCCGGTGGTAACATTGATCGCGTTTGACTGTAAGGCGGTTCATTTGCGCCAGGCTCCTTCCTGCCACCAACTCCTCATCTTGTGATGCCTTCTGCACGCTCGCTCACTCACTCGCTCACTGTCCAGTTTTTTTAATTCACCACGCAGCCCACGTGGATTTTACTGCCTTCGTCAAAGCCGCGCTAGTTACACGTGTCAGTGGAGTAGTTTGTCACTTTGTACTTCCGCGGTGTGATATTTTTAAGTTACCATTGACGAAAGTCCTAACAATTTTAGTTGATATGACTGAAGCTTGAAAAGTATTTATTCTACAATGTAAAATTATAATTTAATGTCAATCTTAACGAGGTGAGTGATTTCCAGCACTGGGCTCTTCATTAACACATGATACACGCGAGTCATAATCCTACCCATAATCATCCCATAATTCACCATGGAATAATCCTCTGCTCGTTCTCATGGAATGCCAATAAAACGGGCAGCACTGGCACCGAGTGCTCAATGCTGGCACTCAATGAGTTTCGCGAAAGGGGCCGATCTTTCTCACCGACGGGCCTTTGCAAGGCTGCTGCGTCGGTAGGCACGGAGGGCACGGTGGTGGGCATGGTGCTGGAATCATCACATCGGCGGGTCCAGGACTCGGGACGCCTGTGTCTCTGATTACCGCGTCAGTGGTGTCGCGTTGAACCCCAGTACCGATCATAGTGCTTCGACCCTGAGCGTTTCAATCCTGTCTTTAGTTGTCGCCGTTTCTTATACCCCTGTTTACCATTTTAGTTTTACTTCCCCCCCCAAAATGCTATTATTTGTTCAATTTTATTTTGCAGCACAGGCGTCTTTAAGCAAGCAGACAAAACAAAACTTTTACGTGGGGCTTTAAACCGAGCCTTAACGTAAAGCTTTTACACCCCACGTGTGCTTAAAGGCTTTGGGTAGCTTATCGCTTGGAGTTTTGCATGCCCTGATGCTCATCATTTTGCATGGAATCTATCCCTCACTCCCCCATCCCATTGTTTTTGGGTCTCTGTGTGTCGTGAGTGTTTTACGTTCTTGCTGTGGCCCTTTTGTCTTCTGCATGCTGCGCACATCATGAGGCTGCCATCCACAAAAGTTGTACACGTTCCCATTCATTAACTGACATTTCCATTCTTAATGAACGTGGAACCCAGAGCTGTTAGACGCTGATTATCAGATCGTTGGATTAAACAAATGACAGAGCCTCGCAAAATGTCACCAAAACAGTACAGGACCATTACAGTTCGCATTCATAGAGTATTAAAATGCAACCGCGTCTCACGACGGCATACCGTATCTTGAGGCGCGTGCACCAGCACAGTGCTGCCATTTCTTAAACCGTTTTCCGTCAAACTCACTGTGGAAAGCGGAGCGGGCACCTACGCTGGCGTGTCTGCATAACGGCTGTCCAGCTGCTCTGTGGTTCTTTGATCTGTGGGTTGGACAGTCACTCGATTCACGCAGCCTCTGAGGCCTTGTTTATCTGTCCTGGTGTGTGATGCGAAAGCCAGCGGCTGCACAGAATAAGAGGGAAACTGCCCACCCACCTCCCGCCTGCGGGACGGTCACGTCCATCCCCCCTTCGGAGGGGCGGGTGAGCTTTATCAATTAATACCGCCATAAACCTTTTAATGTCCTCCATGGTACACAGTGTGTGCAGCATAGCGTAGCGCACACTGTGTGTATGGTCGACTGCAGAGGCAGCAGCAGATTGGCTCGAGTCCAACCATTGCCGGCAGACACCTTGATGATAAAACAATGCCACCAATGGGATGCTTTCTTGTAGTCGTTACGTTGTTTTTAACATAGCCTGGCTTTGTGAATAATAATGTGTATAACCCCTTGTCCTGATTTGAAATGACCTCTCTCTTTTGCTCCCACCTCCCGGTCCCCAATCCGTCCCTGATCCCCTTCCTCCTCCCCCTTCCCCTCCCTACCCCTTCCATGGTGACCCCAAAACCCCCACTTTTGCTGTCTCCCGTGGTAAGTCCCTATTTTTGGTTTTACCCGTTTTTTTGTCCCAACCCTCCTTAACTCCTTCCCCAAAGTAACATGGTTGTTTGGGAGCCCTAAGCCCTCCATGGTCTCACATGTGGTGGCGTCGGTCCTCGCAATCCCTACGAGCGCTGTTAGAATCGTGTCGTCGGGGTCTCTGCGTGTGCTCATCGTGTACAATTTTGGGGGGTGGGGGGGTCTGCACCGTGCTGACTTCTCCCACACTGCGTTGTCGCAACTCTAGCTCCAGCGTGGGTCACGGTGGCCCAGTCATTGTCTTCCCGTGTGTCCACCCCCGCATGCTCTTCCCACAGCACTGAGTCGGCGCAAAGCCTCTCGTGGTTCCGGTGCGCCGAGTGAAAATAACCCCTGACATTGTGTGTCGTTATGCAAGAAATATCATTCAATATGCATGTCTGATTCCAGGAGCTTTGACTCTTATCACTTCATTCACCACACCCTCCAGATGTGTTCCCGGTTTCAAGTGGAAATCCAAGCCTCGTGTTCAGTTACCTCCCTGACTCCTTGACTTCGACCGACCTAATAAGATCTCGAGGTCGGGATGGCATCAGTTCCTGGATGCTGTGAGGGAGCAAATAAAAGTTAACCCTGCATTAACCTGAGCGGACCAGGGTATAACCAAGTAATCTTTTAGAAACATTCCAACATTTATTAGAAAATGGTGTAACTACCGCTGAGAAGTTACTCTGGCGAGCAACGGATGCCCTTGTCCGTGGATGGATAAGTTTGGGCGGTCTGGATGCTGGGCTAGGCCCGAGCGATTGGCCAAGTGTAGTGGACGCAGCGGTGTTGGTGCCCCGTGCCGCTCGTTACCGCGCCTGCCGCTCATTAATCCTCGCGCCACCGCCACCACCGCACCCACGTCTCTTCCTCGCCGCAGGGCGGAAAGCGTATGTTCGGGACGTACTTCCGCGTCGGTTTCTACGGCTCCAAATTTGGAGATCTCGACGAGCAGGAGTTCGTGTACAAGGAGCCGGCCATCACCAAGCTGGCAGAAATCTCCCACCGCCTCGAGGTGACCTCACACGTCGGTGGGCACTGACCCTGGCGGCTCACGAAGGGGGCCCCACGCACACAGCCTGATCGCTCAATCTCAGCCATGACTCCTTGTAAAAAAAGGTGTCAGTTTTGTTGCCAGATAAAAGGGTAAAAAAACCAATTATATTTTGTTACTGGCAAATGAGGTTTCCAATGGCATTCTCAGCCACTTTAATGATAATAAAGCTGACTTTTTCCAAACTTTTTTTTAAATTATATTTTCCGACATAACTTATTGGCCGACCTAATAGCCACCAATTAAGCGAGTGCTAAATGTGCCCATATGCCCACACTAGGTAAACCATTTGTCCCCTTTTTGGATCTCACAACTAATTCCGTGATATCAGCTTTCACGGGCCATTGCCTAACATGTGGGGTGAAGCGCTGGTCTGCGAGGAGAGGTGCTTCGTCTCGTGATACGGTCCTTGAGCATAACTGGAATACAATTGGGAAAACGCATTCTTAAAGACTCTCTCATGGCCCGTCCAAGCCACACGGCATCCTAACGTGGTGTCCAGTTCACCCCATAGGCACTGCCCTTAATCGCTCGTGAAGTCTGTGTCGTTCCGCACGTGATTGAGACGATGTTTTGTGTGTTTTTCAGGGGTTTTACTCTGAACGGTTTGGAGAAGAAAACATGGAGGTGATTAAAGACTCCAATCCGGTGGACCGGAACAAGCTTGATCCCAACAAGGTAACCGTGGAGAATTGACACGGTGCTCGTTTGGACTCCATCGTGCGCTGGTGTGGCTCGCCTTCCCTAGGATTATGGAGGTTCTTAGGTCCCTCTCTAAGTGGCTCGGGGGCCTAAGTCGGCACTGCTCAGATCTTGTGTTTGAATCTGGTAATTAAACCGGGTTCATAAGCGTAGCAAGTTGATTGTCTATATATCACTGGTTGTCCAAAAAACATTAATGTTAGTTTTTTTTACTGAAACTTTTTCGAATGCTGAGAAGTACAAATGTCGGCTTCATTGACATGCAGTGAACGCTGCTTAGGTCTCCTGAAGAAATTCAGAAATAGTTGTCATGTCAACTTCCAGACCCATTTCCTGAAATCATCTCTATTCGTATGGATAGAGATGGATAAGACACAACCATGGTGTCTTTTTTGTGAAACCACGATGTGCTGTTACGCTGCCGGTTGTGAGAATGACGAATTAACGTTAATTGCCCTGACGTGGCTGGCTCTTGTGGCATAATTTGGAAAACATAATCAGGATAGAATATCCCCAAAAGAAGGAGTGCGGGGGTTCAAGGTCAGGGCTTCTCTCCAAGTTAATTTGTCTGAGTACACAATCGATGTTTTTTTAAATCATTCTACACTTGATGAATGCCACCGTTCAGATGACCACTTTAGCTTCTCTTTTGTTCGTCTAATTTTTCATTATTTGTCAATGTGCATGCAGTTGTTAACCGAGCGCAACTGAAACTGAAATTGACTTAATACCATCATGGCCACTGCATACACTGTTGATGGTTGTACTTTGTGCGTGCAGTGTTTGCCTACCTGTGGGCTAGGGGTCTGAAACTGTGCCTCCTGGTGATTCGATGAAATGTAGCGATTAATTTCAAGAATTTATTATTTTTTTACAATCGCGGTGAATGTATTGGGTCTCTAGCGGCTGCGTGGGTCACCTGAAGACTACAAACATTGTATAGGAACTGACATTGATTCTTACACAGTCGGTTCTATGCACATATATCGTGAGCAGAATCGGCCCTACCGCCAATGACTGCGATGAAAAAAACCCATCACATAAAATTTGGTTCCGTACTTAATTTGGCTGAATTCCAACTCTGACAAATATAATAGGGGTTTGACTGTCATGTGACGAAAATAACTCTCATGTGGCAGGGTGGGTCCCACAATGGCGAGATGTTAAATACCTCACCTGGTTTACAAGGGGTCGTGGGTTCGATCCGAATCCTGATGCCTGTATATTTGGGGTTTGCGTGTGCTCCCTGTGGTCGTGTGGATTTTTCTCCGGGTCCTCCGGTTTACCCTTCCACATTTAGAAACGTGCATTTACAGCATTTGACTGCGATACATTTCCACGTGATGAAGCCACTTCGTTGAGCTATCATTTATGGCCAGTTCGCTTCTGAAAAATATCTCTATAGCTCAGTGGGCCTAACCTGGTAAAATAACATTTAAAAAAAATACAAATTCTGCCCTCTACTGTGTGGACCAGAGTTCAGTTGAAGGGAGTGACCTCGGAGGTAGCTCCATGGTTTCCGCTTCCGAAGGCCATTCTCGAACACAGTGGGCCTCATCGCTCCGCGAGAGATCTGAATGAATTTTTTTTATTTCACGGCACGATTGCCGATAGCTCAAACAGGAGAAATTTGGCAGAGAAGTTAGAAACCTTTTAGAGAATCTATATTAATGGATTAACCAATGCGTCGTTATGCCCTCCCCGCCACAGGCCTACATCCAGATCACGTACGTAGAGCCGTACTTCGACATGTACGAGCTGAAGGACCGCATCACGTACTTCGACAAGAACTACAACCTACGGCGATTTCTGTTCGCTACGCCCTTCACGCTGGACGGGCGTGCGCACGGCGATCTGCACGAGCAGTACAAGCGCAAGACGGTGCTCACCACCTCGCACGCCTTCCCCTACATCAAGACGCGCATTAACGTGGGACACAAGGAGGAAGTATGACCCCCCCCCACACACCTCCTAAACCCCCTCCCCCCCCCCCATCCGACATGCGACGCGACTTTGTTGTACATTTTCAGAATGCCAGCTGCTCACTGATGCTGATGCTGCTGCTGACGATGAGGTTGGTGGTGACATTGATGGCGGGTGGGTATCGTTGCGATGGCACTAACGATGGACGCGGTGGGCGCGCGCTCCAGATCATCCTGACACCCATGGAGGTGGCCATCGAGGACATGCAGAAGAAGACGCAGGAGCTGGCGTTTGCGACGCACCAGGAGCCGCCCGACCACAAGATGTTGCAGATGGTTCTGCAGGGTTCCGTGGGTACCACCGTGAACCAGGTGCTGCCTCCTCGCTCGGTCCGCCCGCATTCGCACCTCTAGCGTGATCACGTGTCCAGCCGGGATTCTCTCGAGGTCTGGGCCCTTCTTGTTCATACCTCATGGTGCTGGTTGTAATCTGCAGCAGAACGTTATACAAAATAGTAAAAACTAAAATTGTCACTTTTAAACGTAACCGATTTGCTGAAAAACAATCAATTGCCACTCTTTGCCATGTAATTACTTGATTCCATTGTTGCTGTGTCATGCAGTGGAGGTTTTGAGCTCTAAATAACATCATACCCACGCGATCTAACCCAAACAAATATAAATTAGCGGAGATTTTGTTTAATTTCTCTTTTAGTGCCCTACTCAGTGTTAAAGTTTTAAGTCATTGTTTTTTTTTGTTTACATCAGTCTGCTGGTAAAGGTTTTGAATAATTTGGTGCGGTGGTAACAAAATAAGTTGGACGACTGAAAATGATGTATTGGTGAATTCCACGAACATGTCACGTAAATTACGGAAACACCAGTACATAGACAATCATTATATGAGATTAAAATCGATAATCTTGTGGATATAGTTGCCATGAGTATGAAACCATTAATATTTTAGCATAATTGCAATGTCTACATCCTTCTCCCATAACTCTAACCGCAGCATGCTCATGGAATTTTCCATTCCCCCCGGAAACGTTCTTTATTTATACAAGAAAACGTTATCTCCATATATATAAAAGGCAAAGTTGTGAATGTGTCTGTTCAGACTGTACACCATGCAAAAATTATAAAAATACACTTTTTTTTGGGGGGGGGAGCTCAATAATGCATAAATTTTTTGCATGGCAAGTGAGCTGTGACGTCAAATGTCATGTGACCCGCGCATGTGGAAGCGTAACGCATTGTAGTGGAGTGGTTAGCGCGCCGCGCTACGAACCCGGCGACCCGAGTTCGATTCCTGCTCACGGCCACCACCGGTGACGATTTTTTTAACCGGTCCTGGGCCTCCCCGAGGTCGACTCAGCCTCAGCCTCAAACGTGTAACTGGTGTGGTGTGCGAACATCGCCATTGGGGAGACCAAGGGGGCCGGGCGTGGTGAATCCAAGTCCCGGGCGAAGGCGGGTAGTTAAGCTAGTTTATTTATACAAGAAAACGTGATTTATTTATACAAGAAAACGCAGAGCACCGCTGACTTGAGGCTGTGCGCGCGTGTGCGTTTGGTGCCACCAACACAGGGCCCCCTGGAGGTGGCTCAAGTGTTTCTCGCCGAAATTCCCGACGATCCCAAGCTCTACCGCCACCACAACAAGCTTAGGCTCTGCTTCAAGGACTTCACCAAGAGGTGAGCGTGCGAGGCAGAGCAACGTCGCCTGGGGGCGCTCTTGGCGAGTCCGGGCCGGACAAGTGCTCAGTGTGGCTGTTGTGAACGCACTTTGCGCAGTACCCCCCCCACCGACCCCCGAGTGCGTCACGCGGTACTTTAGAACTGCTTTTCGTGTTTAGTTGGTTGTCCATCCCCCGCGGACCTCTGATTAGCACGGTTGGATACGTACGGTGCGAAATAAATTCAGCATACATACGTGCCGCTTAGGTCGCCACCTCTGAGTTACAAACTGAGACGTATCATGGGAAGAAAAATATCCGACAGCACTGGAAGAGGGTTGCTGTATTCGTCGTGATGATAGTCATTTTTACACAACTGACAAAAATCGGGACTTGTAATATCCCAGGAAGTGTGATAGATTTCTCACACGACAGTAGCCTCAACAAGAAGATGATCCTGGGAAAACGAGGACAGCTGCCAATCCTCGTGTTTATCCACCAGCCCCAGGCTTCATTCAGCCTTTGTGTGTCAGCGGCGCGAGTGACGCACGTGTTTGTGACGCGTGCAGATGCGCAGATGCGCTGCGTAAGAACAAGGTGCTCATTGGGCCCGACCAGAAGGAGTACCAGCGAGAATTGGAGCGAAACTACCACCGGCTGACGGAAGCGCTGCAGCCCATGATTAGCCAGAAGATCGCGCAACTCTACAAGCCACTCACGCCCACGCTGAGCAGGTGACAGCGCCCTCGTTGCCTCTGTTGCTTAATCGCCGGCCAGATTGAGTTGAATTCGTAGTGCAGTTTCTGCACCTCTGCCCCCTAGCCCTTAAGTCTCTTCGTTGATGTTCTACTTACTGGTTAATGCTGGTTGTGTTGGCAGCTGTCTGCCAAGCAGGCGCTTGCCATATTGTTGGTTTTGCCTGTGTGCATATCATTTGTGCGTTTCTCGTGCCATGCGGTTCAGGGAGTCCATCAACCGCTCAAGCCTGCGGAGGGTGGAGGCGTGACAACCCAGCTCGCCGGCCGGCAAAACTGCCAGCCCAATACACGTGCACACGTGCACATACACATTCACCCACCCACCCATACACAAGTACCATAGCTTCTGCCCGCACACTGAACAATCCCTCCTCACACCAACACACACACACATATACTTCCACACACAAAAATCGTCCACACACGAATTAGACCACACACAATCCTACTCGCATGCCACCTCATCACATGCCAACCTACGCACACGCGAACCCATCCACACACTCGGCCACCTGCACATCCACCCATTCGCTCATTCGGTTGAGTAAGTTTTATAGATGTGCCAGGTTGTGAGCGTTAATGCTCGTCACACTCAAACGCACGCATCTGGGGTAATCCGAGCCCTGCATTGACGACTGTGATGATGTGACACGACTGCATACCGAGTCACCATGAGCCAAACCCCGTTGTAATCGAGACCTCGGGCACACCGATTGAAGAGCGTTGCGCTCTTATGGGCTGGCAAGTTCAGCGGAGGCCATTGAGGGAGCGAGCAGCGTGCACTCGCACGTCCTCACGATTTCGTCACAAGCTTGGAATCGCATTGGTCGTTTTTCAAACCAAACTGTTTTACCACAGTCTTGTTTACTCTGCGACTTTACACTCTCGATTAATTTTGCACCTACGTTTTGTTTTATCTTATTTTTTAAACAGTGTTAGTTAAAACAATTTAGCATTTGTGGCAGAACACTAATTTACATGACTGCCTTATAGTAGGCCACCTAATTATTGTATGCACATGAATATTATATTTCCTTATTGCTTAAATCACTTTTAAGTACCGTGTTTAGTCGATTAACCTTTTTTAAACTTTATTTAAGACCTGGAATTTCCTGCATGAACTGTAACTTTGTAACACTTGACGGAGATTGCGATGCAGCCGTAACACACGTGGACAGAGGCGAGCAGTGTTATTTGATTTCTAAATTATTATTTTTTTATTCGAGTTAAAATTATTTTAAATGTCATTTTATTCGCTTGTTCTTAATGACGGTTAACACGATAGATTTTGTTTTCCACTTGGGGCATAGGTTCACGTGAAATAACACTTGGCAAATCGGCCGAGAAACACCGTGCGACCAAAGTGAGAGCTAACGGTTCCAAAAAGTAAAAGCACTCGTGCAAAGCTTTATTTATTTGCTACCAATACACGCCAAGGTGTGCAGGAGGAAATACTCGATTGGAAATTTGTGGGGGAAATAGCGGTTACATTATAGAGCCTCGCACGCCGGTCACCTTCCGTGTGACCTTCAAAATAGTTTTCAAAGGTGCGTCCGTGTGCCAGCTACAAGAAGTAAATAGTGATTAAACAGCGTTGGATCGTTTTTACCGTCATGTTTAAGAGACATTATGGGAGCGCGATGTAGGTGGCAGGGCAAGTTGTGGGGGCTGTTGGGGGATTGCCGACGATTGGTTCCCTGTGGAAACAGGAGGTGTGATGATGGCGGTGGGCATTGAGGGGACCTGGGTGAGACGGGGAATGGCATTTGAGAATCGATCTTGAAGAGACTTGGATAAGTGACAGAGCTTAGGAATTGAGTTAAAGTTGGAACAGTTGACGGATTTTTAGTAAGTAAATCCACAAACTATTAAATTATAACTTGGAGCGTGGAGAAAGAGATTTGTCCATCTGGAATAGACGCATGCAGGGCTATGAAGTGTCTTAGGCATGTGTTGAGAGCCACTGTGTAAGTTAGAAAGGGAGTTTCTAATTAGTCTTTCTCTTACTATAGAACCCAACGTGAAGAGCTGCTTCAGTAATTTTGCTGTATGAGAATGTGCTACATGCAAATAATCGATGTATTAGCATGCCAGTACTGTATACTTTCTTTGAAAATGATTTTTTTTTAAATTAAACATTCGAATGTTTGTATATTTAAATTTGATGCCAGGTGGTATAGTTTTAATTCAGGCTGCACACCTCTACAGGCGCCCGGCTCCAGCGATGCGTGCCAACACTAGCGTGCGCCCAGCAGGAAACACTAAGGGTCGTGTTTGAATCGGAAATGTCAAGTGCTGGTTGTTATTAAAAAATAATATTGTTTAAATGCTTTTTTGTTTAATTCCTTTTTTTGTCACAGTTTCACGAGTTTAATGCCTCTCGTTGAAGAAAGTTACAAAAATCTAAGTACACTTGAGGCACTGCTGTCCAGTACTTGTCCATTTGTGTCCAACCATGGATATTTCCACGTCTCATTGGGTCCCTCTGTGCCTGCCTCTGATGATGGCTCTGCAGGGTTAGATTGCCCTGATTGAGGAGTGCTGTCCAACACACCTCCCAAACATTAAGGCACACACACTCTGGTTCTTTCGGTAAAGTCACGTAGGTATAAAAATAAATTAAATCACGACGTTTCGGGCGCACAACACAAGCGTCCGTCATCAGGTGGGACAACCACAGCAAGAAACAATTCAGCAATTGTTCCACTTCAGCAATTGTTTCTTGCGTGGTTGTTCCACCTGATGGACGCTTGTGTTGTGCGCCCAAAACGTCGTGATTTAATTTATTATATATCTACGTTACTTTACCGAAAGAAACAAAGTATGGATCCCTGCAGTCACGAAAACTTCAATCTTGATTAAGGCACACAGCTGATTTTCGGCCGGTCGCTATGAATCATGAAGTCAACCATTCTCTCCATTGCTCAAGGAAGGCCTCCTCAAACCATTGCCATTTCTCAAGTCCATGGAGTTTTGTAAATTAGATCTGTATTTTCTGTGAGAAAAAACGCATTTTAAACACAATACGCATCACACGACACACATCTCGCATTTCAGTTTCATGACTAGTTTTTTGAGAATGTGATATTTTCAACATAGACACGTTAAGGCTCTTATCCATATAGTTACAATGATATATTTTTTAAAATACCTGTAGTAAAAACATAGTTCAACGTAGATGTCACCTTAGGATCACAATATATAAATATTTCGATACTTCAAGTTGTACTATATTCATCATACATGAGACGTTTATATCAAAAGATAATGACAAAAAATGTTTGGCCAATTTTGACACAAGTCCCCAAAAGTTAGCGCTGCACATTGTGTCCAAGTCACCCTATGGGTTGACTCCCTTTTCTCAAACACCATGGGTTTTGAGACGCGCCATCAGTGTCTCCGAGAATCACCTCTACCCAGAGTGCAGACCCAGGGGCAATGGAGGGGAAACGCAGTCCCAGCTCAGCTGCAGAGGAGCTCCGGATCCGTGGCCCGTGCCTCACGAGAGACGCACAATTTTGCTGACGTAAATGGGCCCAAAGTTTGCGGCAACGTGCGGAATCACCGTCTCGCCAAAACGGTCCTCCTCCTCCTGGAAGGTGAATGCGTGCGAGAAGAGCGCCCGCATGCCGGACAGGTCGCACGCCTGCGCGTCCACGTTGTGATTTGTGGTCGCCAGACTGAGGGCCGCTTCCACCACACAGCTGTTCTGCAGCTGTGACAGGGAGCAAGTGGAGTACACCACCACCCCGCCCGGGCGGCACGCCAACAAACCCGCCCTGCACCGTGACAGACAAAGACAAAGATCCCCCGTATAGCCTTAACAGACTGTTGGGGCAAGTGCTGTTAGCGAGCACCAATGATGGCCGGCACGGCACACGAGGGGGTGGGTGTCCAGCAAACATGCCCAGCCGCCTTTATCTCCCCAGTGGCGATGTTTACACACCGCACCAGGTTACTCAAATGAGGCTGAATCGACCTTGGGCAGGCTCAGGACCGGTTCAGATAATCATCACTGGTGTTGGCCGTGAGTGGGAATCTAACTCACGTCGCTGGCTTTGTAGCGCAGCGTCACGCTAACCGCTACACTACCGCTGCACTGTGACAAAAACAAAGATCCCCCGTATAGCCTTAACAGGCTGTTGGGGGAAGTGCTGTTAGCGAGCGCCTATGATGGCCGGCACGGCACACAAAAGGGTGGATGGCCAGCAACCACGCCCGGCCGCCTTTGTCTCCCCAGGGGCGATGTTTACACACCGCACCAGGTACTCATTTGAGTCGACCTAGGGGAGGCCCATGACTGTGACTCACACACACGCCAGAGTCACACCCCACTGTCAAGTTCTCTCCTTTAGAAAGACAACCTCTGCTGTGACTGTCAAGCAATCTCCATTCAAGCTGGGTGCGATTACTTGAGAAATCGATTACAAATCATCTGCTCGATTAACTCGACGCGTCAGATGACACGAACAAGGCTGTAAAAAGTCTCACCTCTTCCCCGATGCGACAATGTGAGGATGACCACAATTACAAAACTTTAGTCGACTTAACAAACTGTTCAATCTCTAATGCCCACACTGCAGGCTACGGCTCCACAGTGGCCAGGTTCTTACAGCAGCAGCTGGGTCTGCAGCGCCGGCAATTGCTGACGCTCCTTCATCCTGGAGCGAGAGAAGATGTTGTTCTCCTCCTCGTGCAGGGAGTGGCGGTCGTTGGTGCAGGGCGCGTCGACGAGCACGCGGTCGTACACGCCGCGCTCCTCCGCGGACTTGAGCCAGAAGATGCCGTCGCGCGTCCTCACACTCACGCCACCCGCGGGAACGCCGGCCTCCTCGGCGTCACGCGGGACGTAGGTGCGCAGCACGCGCTGCAGGCGGCCGGTGCGCGACGCCGACACGTCGTTGGAAGTCAGCTGGTCTGCAACGCACGGGTGCCCCCCCTCGGTCAGTTTGGGTCACATGCCGTTCATTTTGGGCGGGGGTGGGGGGGTTTGAATGTAGTGTCTGTCGCGTTTAACGCTCCACACTCAACAGCTGGTGTGGTAATGCTGTTCTCGTAATTTGTGTTCGGAGCGTTTAAGGATTTGTAAACGGTTCAGTTGTATCGCGGTGGTTAGCACACTGCTATGAGCCCGGCGAGTTGCGATTCATTTCCGGTCAGTGACGAGCGATATCCAAATCAGGTCCTGACACCACCTTCATTAAACCCGCACTGACCAGCGTGATGAAGCCAAACAACCCCCAGGACTCGCATGCGGGCTGTACATGTGCACAGGGTAGAGCCACACCATGTGCGTGCGTACGTGCGTGTGTGCATGCGTGCGTGCGAACGACGGGGTGTCCACGGTGCCAGCTCACCGCAGCACGCCGTCTGCAGCAGCGCGAGGGTTTTGCCGCCTGGAGCGGCACACAGGTCGAGCACGCGGTGTCCCAGCTGCACGTCCAGCGCCAGCACGGGCAGCAGGGATGCCGCGTCCAGGAGGTAGTGGCTCAGCAGCCGCAGCGCTCCTGCGGGCCTGCGCAGGAGCACGGTGCAACAAACTTGGGTCAATTGCAAGATAATTGCATTGTACTTTCAGAAACAACACCACTGTAAAGTGTAGTTGAGACCCCAGGCCTGCACAGGACAACTGGGGGTGTAACGGTGCAATTGATTGATACTTTCATATCGATTCAAAAGTTCACAACACATGCATTACATTTCCGAAGAGTTAATGATTTGAGAATCATAAGAATGTGCTGTTCTTTATTGTGTTGTTGCCTGGACAGCGGCCTGCACCCCGGCATCCCCTCACCAAGGCTGTGGGAACCGGGAAATATCGCCGCGGGGAAAAGTGAAGCATCTGATGTTGGGGCTCAGCCTGAGGGTGGACAAAACGCTGCTCTCCAGCATCAAGGACTTTCCCAGCTCGCCCCCTTCATGATCCGGTGGATCAGATGGACACGGAGCACCGTCTCCTCCGCGACTCTCTCGGCCGCGTTCATCAAGCGGCCTCTCCGCAGTCGGCTCCGAGACCCGTCGGGCCTCCCCGGCGTCTCGCCCGGCAAGGCTCCTCGTCACCACGTCCCGCACCAGGTCGACCGCGCCAAGGCGCCGCAGCTCGCCGCCGGTGCCGTCCGAGTCGGCCCAAGCGTTGACGAGGGCCCCGTATTTGCGCTCGCACAGCAGCGCCAGGCGCACCGACTCCCACATGTGGCCCAGCTGCAGCCCGTAGGTCGCATCCATGAGCTGTAGGGCCGCCTGCGTGTTGGGCACCTTGGACCTCGTCGTGGCCTGCACATTGACGAGATAGACATTGCATCACGAATCAAATCGGTAAATGACGAGAAAAAAAAACCCATTGTAACAGAATGTACGTATGTAATGTTGAGCTTCTTTCGCACTGTACGTAGCCAACCGTGCTAATCAGAGGTGTGGGGAAAGGACAACAAATTAAACACAATAAACTGTTCTTGAAGAAAATGTTGCCAATACGACCTGAGTTTGATTCCAGGACACAACGAACATGATTGAAGAGTGACCTTTTCTCTCCACCTGATGAAGACCGCTTGTGTTGCAGTCGAAACGACATGATAATTTTATTGTTTTATATGTTTATTATTTTATTGTTTCTCTTCTACGTGACTTTACCGAAAGAACCAAGAATATGAATCGCTGCAGTCACGAAAGCTTTAAATAAAAATTTTGGTCGGGCGGACTTGATTTCAGCGGGAGCTGTCCGGAGATAAGCTCCGGAAAACATTTCCCGTACCCGACACATCCAGTCCACATTTCGCTACAGCCGTGGTTTAAGAGTGGTTATGGCAGCTATACTAGTTATAATACTGGTTATACTAGTACTGTAGTCGTGTCACTAGTTATACTGGTCATCGTGAGTGCCACTAGAAACACAGTGTAACACTGGTTACACGGTGTAACACTGGTTACACGGTGTAACACTGGTTACACTAGTTACATTGGTGAGTGTAACACTGGTTACACGGTGTAACACTGGTTACACGGTGTAACACTGGTTACACGGTGTAACACTGGTTACACTAGTTACATTCGTGAGTGTAACACTGGTTACACAGTGTAACACTGGTTACACTAGTTACATTGGTGAGTGTAACACTGGTTACAATAGTTACACACTAGTCACACAGGAGTCACACCACGAGTCACACCACGAGTCACACCACCAGTCACACTAGTCACACACCAGTCACACACCAGTCACACAGGAGTCACACCACGAGTCACACCACCAGTCACACCAGTCACACACCAGTCACACACCAGCCCCACACGAGTCACACCACGAGTCACACCACCAGTCACACCAGTCACACACCAGTCACACACCAGCCCCACACGAGTCACACACGAGTCACACCACCAGTCACACACCAGCCACACACCAGCCAAACCAGTCACACACCAGTCACACCAGTCACACCACGAGTCACACCACGAGTCACACCACGAGTCACACCACCAGTCACACCACCAGTCACACCACGAGTCACACCACGAGTAACACACGAGTCACACCACCAGTCACACCACCAGTCACACCACGAGTCACACCACCGGTCACACCACCGGTCGCACCACGAGTCACACCACCAGTCACACCACGAGTCACACCACCAGTCACACCACGAGTCACACCACCAGTCACACCACCAGTCACACCACCAGTCACACCACGAGTCACACCACGAGTCACACCACCAGTCACACCACGAGTCACACCACGAGTCACACCACTAGTCACACCACGAGTCACTGCTCGAGTCACACCACCAGTCACACCACGAGTCACACCACGAGTCACCCTACCAGTCACACCACCAGTCACACCACGAGTCACACCACCAGTCACACGAGTCACACCACGTGTCACACTACCAGTCACACCACCAGTCACACCACCAGTCACACAACTAGTCACACCACGAGTCACACCACACACGAGTCACACCACGAGTCACACCAGCAGTCACTGCTCACCCACTTGCTCTTGACGCGGTGCCGCCTCTGCTCGCGGTCCCAGCCCCTCGCGGCGCGCGGCAGCGGCCGCAGGAGCAGCGCGCCGCGCGGCCTCGCCAGCGACCACATGGCCACACCGTCTTTGTTTATTATTCTGATGTTGACGATCGCGGGACGACGGTCATAGGGACACCGCCACTCTTAATTGTCACCACTTCGTTCTCGCTGTTGATGTTGTAGACTGTTGTTGCAGATTGTTGTTGTTGTTAACGCTCGGCGTGCGCGACTGTATAACACTGCGATCTATCCGAGGGCCTTGGGGCCTCCCTCCCGGGTGACGTCACTGCTCGGCGCTGATTGGCTGTGGGCGTTTTCCAGCGTATGGAAGGCGACGCCGGGCGACAGCGGACGGTGGAGGAGCGGTCACGGTGGAGGAGAGGTCACGGTGGAGGAGAGGTCACGGTGGAGGAGAGGTCACGGTGGAGGAGAGGTCACGGTGGAGAAGTCTGTGCAGTAGAGGTCACGGTGGAGGAGAGGTCAGTGTAGTAGAGGTCACAGTGGAGGAGAGGTTTGTGTAGTAGAGGGCACGGTGGAGGAGAGGTCAGTGTAGTAGAGGTCACGGTGGAGGAGAGGTCACGGTGGAGGAGAGGTCTGTGTAGTAGAGGTCACGGTGGAGGAGAGGTCATGGTGGAGGAGAGGTCTGTGTAGTAGAGTTCACGGTGTAGTAGAGTTCACGGTGGAGGAGAGGTCACGGTGGAGGAGAGGTCAGTGCAGTAGAGGTCACGGTGGAGGAGAGGTCTGTGTATTAGAGGTCACGGTGGAGGAGAGATCAGTGCAGTAGAGGTCACGGTGGAGAAGTTTGTGTAGTAGAGGTCACGGTGGAGGAGAGGTCAGTGTAGTAGAGGTCACAGTGGAGGAGAGGTTTGTGTAGTAGAGGGCACGGTGGAGGAGAGGTCAGTGTAGTAGAGGTCACGGTGGAGGAGAGGTCAGTGCAGTAGAGGTCACGGTGGAGGAGAAGTTTGTGTAGTAGAGGGCACGGTGGAGGAGAGGTCAGTGTAGTAGAGGTCACGGTGGAGGAGAGGTCAGTGCAGTAGAGGTCACGGTGGAGGAGAGGTCACGGTGGAGGAGAGGTCTGTGTACTAGAGGTCACGGTGGAGGAGAGGTCACGGTGGAGGAGAGGTCAGTGTAGTAGAGTTCACGGTGGAGAGGTCATGGTGGAGGAGAGGTCTGTGTAGTAGAGGTCACGGTGGAGGAGAGATCACGGTGGAGGAGAGGTCTGTGTAGTAGAGGTCACATTGGAGGAGAGGTCACGTTAGCAGCATCATCATCGTCGTCAACAAAGATAGCCAGTATAGCCCATAACAGACTGTTGGGGGCAAGTGCTGATAGCGAGCATCTATGAAGGCCGGAATGGCACACGAGGGGGTGGGTGGCCAACACCACGCCCGGCCACCTTTATCTCCTTTAGTGGCGATGATGACACACCAGGCACTCATTTGAGATTGAGTCGACCTAGGAGAGGCGCAGGACCGGTTCAGATATTACCGGACGGAGTCACTGATGTTGGCCGTGAGCAGGAATCGAACTTGGATCGTCGGGTTCGTAGCGCAGCGCACTACCACCACCGTCATCATCAACACCATCAACACTGAGAACTCTCAGGAGAGACCAGGTTAGAGTCGCGTTCCCAAGAGGGACCTGCATCACCAAAATGTACTGAAGCAATCGCATGAAACAATACAACGATTAAGCAAATAGAAATCAAAGCAAAAACAACCGCTATGGAAGAAATCGCAACAGCACCAATGATTATTAAATAAAATACATTTGTTGGCTTGGGCAAGTAAATTTTAGAAACCATAGCAGAATTGAATGTACAGGAGCATCCAAATACATTTTTATAGTAATATCAAAGGCAATTGCAATAAAGTATGTCCTCACTATCATTCACAACACTATCACCTTTATCAACATCACCAAACCTTATCAACATCACAGTCATAAATACCATTATCAACACGAACATAATCACTATCAGCACCATGAATTACAATTAACGCTGTCATTGTTGCTATCAACATTTAATCACTACAACCTTTGCTATCATCAGTGCAGTTAATACTGATAACAGTAGCTTCTAACACGGCCACAAGCAACAAACGAACGTGATTACCATCGTTACAATCAACGCCATTACTCGAGGTGGCCAGCAGATGGCAGCGCATCAATAGGCCGAGTCCATTTGGATTCCGTGGCTGCGTCTTGCGAATTGACTCCATCTGTGCAGAGCTTTGTGTGGTTTTCCTCTTCGTTTGCGTGGTGGGGCTTCTCACGCTGCTCTAGTTTCCTCCCATACGACGCCAGACTCTCATCCCAATGTAGCAGGACCCCTCTGAACGCGAAGCATGTTACCGGTTGTGTTACCATACTCTTTGGTTATTTCGGTAAAGTCCGAAACGTCGTGATTTATTTTATTTTATGCCTACGTGACTTTACCGAAAGAACCAAAGAGCATGGATTCCTGCAGTCAGGAAAGCTTAAAATCCAGTTGTGTTACCATTTACAGGGCAGCACTGTGTTAATCTACTGCTGGATGAAGACCCACAAGACGCTCCCCTCCCCCACCTCCTCCACACTGTGACAGTTGTGGGAGTTGTTTGGCCATCACCACGCTGGTCAATGTGGTTTGGAAGATGCCAATGACCAGTTCGGACATCACTCGCCACTGATATCAGCCGTGGCCGAGAAGTAGAACTCGGCTCGCCGGGTTGAGAGCTCGGTTATATAAACAAAACAATACAGAAGTTGTTTAAAAAAGAAATAAACCATACAAGAAATCCGAAACAATTATAATCGTATTTTAAATAGGGTTTGGTGATGCTGATAAGCAAATACCGCCACGTCAAACTACAATGTAGTTTTTTGTTATTTTCTTTAAACATATCTACGTGACTTTACCGAAAGACACAAAGAATATTAATTCCTGCTGTCACGAAAGCTTTAAGCCATGATTATAATCGTGCCCACGAATCGTGACAGTTGATGGGCGGTGGAAATGGCTTCTGCGTGCGTGGCAACTTGAACAGCAGAGCAGAGCAAGCAAACACCGTCACGTCAGCACTCTTCACAGCCAAAAGCCACGTTGGTCGAGTATAGGTGGGGATTTAATTTCATCCGGAGCTGTCCGGGCCTAAGCTCCGGAAAATGTCTGCATCCCCGCACACCAACATCCAGTACACATCCCGCCCTGGCCGTGGCTACTCGTCATGTACCACCTTCTGTTGTACCAGCCTCCTGGGGAAATATTCGGCGAGACGTTTAAACCTCGGTGTAGGAATTAAGCAGGAAATGGCTGCAAATAAAAAAGCAAAAACATCCTCCTGGTAGTGGCAGCGTGAAGGACAGACAAAACCCGACGTTTTGAAATAATGGCCTTGCACAGTCGTGTCGTAATGGTGTTGAACTTATAATCCACAGGTCCGGGGCAAGGGCGTGCGGGTTCCCGTGCCTCCACGCCCACCTTGACACGCGCCTGCTCAGCACATTCCTGCACAGGTGAAATGTGCCGCGGCCACGCGTCGACTCCCTCAAAGAGTCCGTGGCTCGCGATTCACTCCAGCACATGAAGGTCACAAAGCCTCAAGGCACTCCTCACCCACTCAGACGCAAAGACAAGGATCCCCCCCCCCTGCAGTCTCGACATACCGTTGGGGCAAGTGCTCGTCATTCGCAAGTATCTACGGAGGCCAAACACAGCACATGACGGAAGAATGGTGTGGTCAGCACCACGCGAGGCCACCTTTTTGTCTCACCAGGTGCTCACTTAAGGCTGAGTCGACCTAAGCGAGGCTCCGGACCGGTTCCCGTATTTGTTAACCATCATCATCATCACTTAACCACGCACAAAACGCCCCGCGCGGGTGCCTCGCGTTACATCCCACACGCTGCGCCAGCCATTACCCACTGCTCATGTATCGTGATGAGCCATGGCCTATCCACTGCTAGACGAAGGCCTCCCCACCACCATCATTGTGCTCCTGTGATGCCACAAGCCATCCCACTCCCGCACGTGAGCTCATCGATCAGCTGCTTGACTATTACTGTACACTCAATCAATACATACATTTTGTTTGTCTAAGATGAACATTATATGTTGAAATAGTTTATTAATATCCCTTGGGTGCTTTGTAGCCTGGGGAAATTTATTTTGACGGTAACATAAATGAATTGTTTAACTTGTTATCATGGCCCAATGAGTGACTCCCAGCATACAGAACTTGACGGACCAGTCCACACAAAACTGCACCTTCCTCTCCGCGTTCCTCATCATCCCCATCACCAGTCGTGATCGATCCACTGCTGAATGAAAGCCTTCCCAAGCCGTCACCCCATGCAGACGAGGAATCCTTGCGGAGGAGTTGCGTCCGAGCTCGTCGCTTCGCTCCGTCTCCGCAGGGGACTTCCTCGCGGGCGCCTCCCTTCGTGTGTCTGCCATGGTGATGTTAGAGACGGCGAGATTCGGGATGATGCTCGTGGGTTTTAACTTTCGACCCTTCCTCGCCACCCTTCCTCCTGCTGCCCACGCAGAGACGTGACCGGGACATGGATCCACACTTCGAGTCTGGGGTGTTTGAGGGTTGGTGGGGGGTTTTCTTTGTGTGGTTCTTTGTTGAATTTCCTTTTGAAAAATATAACATAAAGAGAAGCAGTATACATTAGCCTGGAATCGATTAACTGCGTTTTTGTTGTCTTCGCCCGTATTGTGTGGGTGTGTGTTTTGTATTGCTCGTTTTTTTTCTTTACATTACTGTAACTGCTTTTGTGTTTGCTTCTCTGTAACCCGGGTCTACCTCGCTAAATACGCAGCACATTGTAACCTCAGCGAGCTCCACCTACACGTACAGCCCTCTGTGTCAATCCACTGCTGGATGGGGGCCCTCCCCTGGAGGTTCCTGAATTGGCCTGAGCCACGCCTGCTCGCCTGTCTCCCCGGTGCTGATATTTACACCCAGCGGGCAGCTGCTCGCTTGAAGTCCTGAGTGGACTTTGGGAGTGTTCACTACCGCCCAACACATGTGCACCCAGAAACAAACAAAAAAAACACACACTCACTCACTCCCAGACACACCGAGAGACGCATACAAAGACATGCCCAAAGAAAATTGAATAAATGCCCAAGAGACAAAGATCCCCCGTGTAGCCCACGTCGACAGTAGGGGCCGCCGCTGTTGACCGTGAAATCGAACTCGGATTGTGTGTTCGCTCACCACTCTGCCACCGCACACAGACGCAAACATTAAGTATGAACAAACTCATTAAGTATACACAAACACATTAAGTATACACAAACACACCCACCAAGCGCGCGGACACAAAGACAAAGATCTTTTGGGGCAAGTGCTGTTAGCGAGCACCTATGAAAGCCAGCACCACGCCCAGCCGCCTTTGTCTTCCTAGTGACGATATATACACACAGCACCAGGTATACGTTTGAGGCTGAGTCGACCTAGGACAGGGACAAGGACCGGTTCCTATAACCGTCACTGGTGTCGGCCGTGAGCGGGAATCGAACTCGTGTCACCTTGGTTCGTAGCGCAATGCGGCACCACCGCTCCCTCGACACGCAAAGACACACCCAGACACACGCACACCCAGACACACCCAGACACACACACACCCAGACACACACGCGCACGAGGCATTCCGAGTCACGCCCGCTCTAGTTACACGTGTACAAGCGGCGATGACGCGCGCCCACGCGACCTGGTGATGATGATGCCCCACGCAGCGCCACTCCGCTGTGCGCACTCCCATCACTCCGTCCATCGCAGTCAGGGTTAAGGCGACGACGGATAACCGCGGGGGCGCCCCCTCTCGCCCGTTCCCACTCGCCCTCCTCCGTCCCGTCTCGGGTAGGGACGCGAACCGTCGGCCCTCGCCCGTGGGATCACAGCGCAGCCGCGATGGGCGCCGCCGCGTGGATCCTCGTGCTGGTTCTTGGAGTCTGGCTGCACCCCTTCGCAGGCGCAGCAGGCACAAGTAAGTGACTCTTCCACCACCACCCACCCCGCAGACACTTGGGCTAACGCAGCCTCTCCCGCACGCTCAGCGTGAACTGCGTGCGCGCGAGCGGCAGCTAGCCGTGGGATTCGTTTCTCGCTCGAAATTTTCCCGAACGCTGCGCGCCCGTCTTGTGGGGTGGGGATTATAGGTGTAAGGCACTACCACTGGAGTTCACACGATCGATCCCAATGGACCGACAATATTTTGCCATATGTTGCTATGATCCTGGCACCTGAGCATCGCGAGGGCAGAATAAGGCGAGGTGGATGCGGGGTCCGAACAAAGCACCCGGGAAACAGCGATCCGGACTGTCACGATCTTACCGGAATTTCACCCCCCACCCAAACCCACCCCTGTGACCCGCACACAGAGTGCGCTGCGCGGATTTGACCCGAGCATCAATCCCTAACTTACAACTCGCCCCATACCTTACCCTCCAAGACTCCTTACCATTAAAGTTAACCCTGAGGGTAACCTACGCCGAACCTCCGAGCCCATATCCCTCACCCGAAGTAACTCCGGCCCTAACCCTGACTCTGAGCACTCACCTACCCACTCTCACCCACTCACCTAACCACTCTCACCCACTCACCTAACCACTCTCACCCACTCACCTACCCACTCTCACCCACTCACCTACCCACTCTCACCCACTCACCTACCCACTCTCACCCACTCACCTACTCACTCTCACCCACTCTCACCCACTCACCTACCCACTCTCACCCACTCACCTACCCACTCTCACCCACTCTCACCCACTCTCACCCACTCACCTACCCACTCTCACCCACTCAACTACCCACTCTCACCCACTCACCTACTCACTCTCACCCACTCACCTACCCACTCTCACCCACTCACCTACCCACTCTCACCCACTCTCACCCACTCACCTACCCACTCTCACCCACTCTCACCCACTCACCTACCCACTATCACCCACTCACCTACCCACTCTCACTCACTCACCTACCCACTCTCACCCACTCTCACCCACTCACCTACAAACTCTCACCCACTCTCACCCACTCTCACCCACTCACCTATCCACTCTCACCCACTCACCTACAAACTCTCACCCACTCTCACCCACTCACCTACCCACTCTCACCCACTCACCTATCCACTCTCACCCACTCACCTACAAACTCTCACCCACTCACCTACCCACTCTCACCCACTCACCTACCCACTCTCACCCACTCACCTACCCACTCTCCCCCACTCACCTACCCACTCTCACCCACTCACCTACCCACTCTCCCCCACTCACCTACCCACTCTCACCCACTCACCTATCCACTCTCACCCACTCACCTACCCACTCTCACCCACTCACCTACCCACGCTCACCCACTCACCTACCCACTCACCTAAGCTCATCGTAGTTGCTCGGCTATGTACGCGTCAGTCGACGCTCTGCAGACCCTTGCAACACGAGATGTTTGTGTTTGAAACGCTTTGTTCTTCCATGAATAAATAAATAAATAATCGCTCAGTTCCGCTTTCGCTACACAAACCGAAATATACTCCGGTATCTATCATCATCACTCAACTTTGGTCAATCCACTGCTGGATGATGGACTCCGGAAGCCGCAGTCAGCTCTCGCGATCCTGCGACGTGATGACCCACACGGCACCTGCCTCTCTTGGGTGCGTTTCGTTCCGAATGTAACCATAATCACAAAGCAACAATAATCCTAGCCACACCATTCACCATTCTAGGGGAGCGAGAATCGTGAGCGGGAATCGACGGATTCAGGTGGACACCACGGAGGCGCGTGGACAGATACAAAGATTCCTAAATACAGGTGTAGCCTTTAACAGGCTGTTGGGGAAAGTGCTGTTAGCGAGCACCTATGAAGGCCAGCACACGAGGGGGTGGGTGCAAGATGTCCGGCCGCCTTTGTCTCCCCAGTGGTGATGTTTACACACCGCACCAAGTACTCATTTGAGGCTGGGTCGACCTAGGGAAGGGTCAAGGACCGGTTCAGAATCTTTATTTATCCTGGAGAAATCCGATGAGCCATGAAGCTCTTTTTCACAGATGATGTCCAGGAGAGGCGGATCAGAAAGTAACAACAGCAAACGATACAAAAACACGCCAGGCGTGCACAGATGCTCGTCACTGGTGTTGGCCGTGAGCGGGAATCGAACTCGGGTGGCCGGATAGCGCAGGCGCGCTAACCACTACACTACCGCACCCCACATCACACAGCACCGTGTGTACACACACACACACACACGTACACAACACACATACACTTGTACACACAGCACCTTGTGTGTACACACACGTTCACTTGTACGCACACACATACACTCGTACACACACACGTACACTTGTAAACACAGCACCGTGTGTACACACACACGTACACAACACACATACACTTGTACACACAGCACCTTGTGTGTACACACACACACGTTCACTTGTACGCACACACATACACTCGTACACACACAGGTACACTTGTAAACACAGCACCGTGTGTACACACACACGTACACAACACACATACACTTGTACACACAGCACCTTGTGTGTACACACACACACGTTCACTTGTACGCGCACACATACACTTGTACACACACACACGTACACTTGTAAACACAGCACCGTGTGTACACACACACGTACACAACACACATACACTTGTACACACACACGTACACTTGTAAACACAGCACGTTGTGTGTACACACACACGCTTGCACACAACACACATACACTTGTACACACACACGTACAAGTGTATGTGTGTACACACACACACACTTGTACGCACACGTGCGCACGGAGGAACGCGTGTCAGCAGAAACGTCTCGGCCGACGCGGAGAGTGATGGGATGAGCAACTCGTACCTTGTGTGTTATCACGTGGGGGTGGGGGGGTCTGGAGCAGCAGCCCCAGGCCACACAGAGAGAGAGAGATAGAGGGAGGGGTTCATTGGGTCCTGGTGTACAGCAGCAGATGAGTCCCAATGCTATGCGTGTATGTTGAACTTCTTTCGCACCGTACGTAGCCAACCGTGCTAATCGGAGGTGCGGGGGAAGGAGTTAAAACTCACCCCACCCCCTTCCCACTAGCGAGCACATCGCAATACTTTACAGTATAGATTAAACCAAGGTAGTCCTTCCTATAAAATCAAGACACGTACAAATATCAACATAACTAAACACAGAAAGGAGTTCAAGTGAAACGAGTTTTCAATGTTGATTCAAAAGTGCACGCTGCAACGTGGTTATGTTGTTTATTTCTGCCAGAAATCCCCGTAGAGTAGTGAGTTGCTCGAATCGATCCTCGTCGATACGATGCTACACGCCACCCGTGTTGCCTATGTCACGGCTCAATAGTGGTCGAATGTGTCGTAGAGCCCTGATATGAAAACTGCAGGAGCTGACCGCGCAATATTTACTCCAATTCCTACACTCGTTAAATCCTCACCGGGTCCACGGTGCGTTGGAAGGTGACCAAAGACAAAGATCACCCCGTATAGCCTTCACAGACTTTTGGGGCAAGTGCTGTCAGCGAGTAAACACCTGTGATGGGAATGCGGCCCCGTAAAGACTTCCAACGCCACGCGTACGGGCACGGATGAACACGATTTGTAAACAGTTCCGTACAGATGCGTTCACGAACCCAAGTTGCTGTGCCTCGATAGCTGCTGCTGCTGCTGGTGGTTCAACCTCGCAGCAAAATCGCAGAGGTACAAACTCCTACGGCAATATCCACCGTCACTTTAAATGTGCCTGAGAGACACAATCGCAACATTGTTGACGCACGAAAAAAAACACAAGGCGACTGTATTTATTGGTGGGGTTTTTTTCTTAATTAAAAATAAATCGTTCGGCAAGGCGAAGTCACCGCTGAGAAGTGCTGAGCGTGGAGCAAACTCTTTGGTCCTTTCGGTAAAGTCACGTAGGTATAAAATGAAATAAATTAAATCACGACGTTTCGATTGCAACACAAGCAATCATCATCAGGTGGGGAAAACCACAGCAATACATCTATTTATTTATTTTATACCTGCGTGACTTTACCGAAAGAGCCAAAGAGTATATGGATCCCTGCAGTCACGAAAACTTCAAATCAAAATTGAGCGTGGAACAATCAACAACAACAACACTCAGGGCCCAGCCACGGCACCGTAAGCGGTGGGGATGAACTCCATCCGTCCATCTCTCCCGATAACCACCGTGATCCGATAACCACCGTGACAATCCTCTGCCCCCTCCCGCCCCCGTGGACGAATGTCGGCTCGACTTTGTCAGCGGCTGAGCGGCACCGGTCAGAGAATCGAACACAAACCCCCGCGGCGCCCGGCCACAAACCCCGCACGGGGGCCCGCATCGCTCCGTCGCCTCTTGTCAGGGCTCCACGGGGCTGGGGTGGGGGGGTCCAGGCAACATTCCGTGAGAAACTAAGCCCCGGATTCACACAACTCGTTAAGCGTAAGTGCGCATAAAGTCAGAAAAAAACAACATAGGAATCAAAATAAACATGTATTTATACTCAAGTAATACAACATTTACTACGAAAGATTTAGACACCAAAGCGCTTTGTGTGAACGAAAAGACAAATTCGCCCGTTTTCTCATTGAAAATAGGTCAATTTCAAAATATCACTGTCCTGGTCCTAAAAGCAAAGTTTGTGGGGAATAATAGCCGCTTTCTGTACTTTTGAGGCATAAGCAATTACGAAATAACACTTACTAGCCAGGAACAAAACACATTTTCGTTACACAGTGTTATCAGTGGTATAGTAACTACATTAATCAGTGCCGTAGTGACTACATTATCAGTGATGTAGTAACAACATTATCAGTGGTGTAGGAACTACATTGTCATTGGCGTAGTAACTACATTATCATTGGCGTAGTAACTACATTATCAGTGGCGTGGTAACTATATTATCAGTGGTGTAGTAACTACATTATCAGTTGCGTAGTAACTTACATTATCAG